CAAAGACAGACATTTAAATCATGAGGACTGCCTCTTCCCCCTGTCCCCCTCCAGCTCTTTTGGTCATAAATTTGATACTTAAAATAGACTTGAAAATCCAGCTGGTATGAGCCATCACTGTGGCTCTAAATTATCTTTCCTGGAAGCTAAATGTCCTAAGTGCATAAAATAATGACGTCTCTTATCTGCTCAACTCGACAGACCATATTAAGTAAAAAATCTCCCTGGAAGCCAGTTTAGATGCCCCTTCCACTCACCAGCTATTTTCTTTTGAGAGAAATCCTTGGCCCCAAATACACATTTGGAGCAGCTTTAAACCTCCCGGGAGGGGACACTGAGGGCAGAGAATGGTGTCCCCTAGTGTTAGCCCTGGATGAAATCAGGAATTGCTGACCTTGGCAGACAAAACAAGTAGCCTGGATAAACCCCTAACCCAAGGGAGGGGGGGTGGAGGGAGGGAGAAGGAGAGAGAGAGAGAGAAAGAGAGAGAGAGGAGAGGAGAGGAGAGGAGAGATACTCAAGGGACAACATACTCACTCCCTCCCCTTCTCTCCCCCATCCCCACCTCTGCTTTTCCATTTCTTCAAAGCACTAAACCTTAGATCAAATACAAATACAGCTGGGCAGACGCCACGCTCTTCCGGACCACCCCTCACCACAGGCTCTAGTCTTTGGAGAGGATGTCTTTTTTCCACCCCGTTAGCCATCAGCATCCTCGCCCCCGGGAATATTAAGATACAAAAAGAGGAAGAAAAAAAAAACACACAAAGACGTATTTCTCCTTGAAGAGTAAAAGAACAACTGTAGCCACATTCAGTCCAAATTCTTATGGACAGAGAGAAATGGGCAAAATATTCTACCACCTCCTCATACCAGGCAAAATAAACATAGCAATTATTGCCAAGAGGGGGAAGGCAGGATGTAGCAGTGAAGGACAGCACGCAGGGCAGGTGCTGTCCTTGGTGCTGAAATCTGTGTCCTGCCTCAAAGTTGATGTGCTGGAACAAGATTTCCACTCCACGCCCTCAATCCCTCACCCTTGCAAAGCCCAAGCGTCTGATTTGGAGTGGGAGATGATTGGAAATCAAATCTTAAGTCATAAATTATGAAGTACTACTCTCCTTGGCACATTAGAGTGTCACCCCTTGAGTGCAAGGCTAATATAAATTGAAGGAACAATGTGTGCTCCCAGTAGAGCAGTGAAGACACACAGTTGGTCATCAATAAATACCCACTTAATTAATTAGTTACTACATTTTCAATGAAAGCTGAAGAGTCTGTATTCCTTCCCTCCCCACCACAAAAGAGAAAAGATGTACTCAGAAGTAGACTGAGTCAATTTTCATTTGCAATACCTAGTCGGAATAGAAGACTCACCCTAAAATTTCTTTCTTGGCTAAAACCTTAGGCAGTTGTTTTAGATTCTGCAGTCAAAGAAAAAAAATGGTGGGAAATTCTCAATCGAGTGGCACAAGTGAAGTAAATGCATCTTCCTTTCCAGAGAATAGTGAATCCTGGGAGAAGGTAGAAGCCATGGGACCAGAGAGCACTGAGGTGAGACGATGGATATTTAGGGGCATGAAGATGTGCTGCCTTTTCCCTCCTATCCCCCTTTGGGTTTGTCTCCAACCACTAAGCACCCAGCTTCCTGACTGGCGCGACCATGTCTCTCAGGGAAGACCTGAGGAAAGGGAATGGGTGCGCGGTTCAAAGCAGCTCTGAGTAGCTACCTGGTGAGTGGTTTGAGGGGACTCCTCCCAACCCCGAAAGCAAAACCGACACCCCCCACCCTTTATGCAATGCCTTACCAACCTGGGAGCTCTGGTGGGGGAAGGGAGATTGTGGCTACTATGCACTCTCCAATCAGAATGTTTTTGCGAACTTAAAAAGTGCCGGGGGCTTTTATTATAAGGTGCAGAGGAGGCGATAGTATTTGCTTTCCTATCCAAAGCAATACTGATATTTCAAGCCTCACTGTGAGGTCTCTCTTGTTCCAACTGCATCTTCGCAGAAATTTTAATATCTCTTATAGAAATTTGGGGCGATTTAGTAGAGTTGGGGTGTTTCCACTGTGATGAGGAGGAAATTGATAGGATAGTCAGAGAGGAGGGACAGGCCTGGGAAACGTTAGCGAGGCCCCAGACGTGTGCATAAATAACCCCGGACTGCTGCAAGGAAACAAGATGGGGGGGGGGGGGGGAATCACTGGAAAACAAGAAAAGCAATCACTGAGTACTGACTCATTCAAACACGCACAAAATCAACTTTGATTTGCCCTAAAGAGAACGGAGAGGGAGGGAGAGAAAAGCAGAGCGCAAAAACGGAAAGGACAGGCGAGTCAGCGAGCCGGGCCCCCGTTCCAGGTGTAGACTGGGACTCGGGAGGACAGACCTGGCCAGCACGGCAACCTCGGTCTCTGGGTGCTTGGCGCCCTCTGGTGGGAATTTTTTCGCCAACGCCTTTTCTTTTAACCGTAAGGGACCTTACCCGAGGCAGCGATGCATTAACATGCTGAAATATTTCAAAGGGAGAATCTTTAAAAAGCCATGAAATGGAAAGCGAGTGAGCACCGGAGAGAAGGCCCAGCCCGCCCCTCCCGGGCTGCCTCTGCGCTCTGGGTCCCCAGGCGCGTGGAGCTGGTGGCACTCGTGCGTGGTATTAACCTTCAGACGTGATCAATCAGGAGAGAGAGCATTGAAAAAAAAAGAATGGAGGCTCCCTTTCCGCCAGTGGCACCAGGTAACAATGCTCAGATAAGCTACTTTGGGCATGACTCGAGTTGGATAAGAAAACAGGAGTGGGGAGATGGCCCCTGAGCGGTCCCCCTCGACTCTGCCCGCTCTGCCCTTACATCAACCCTGATCGGACCAGCCAAGACACCACTCGGAGCGGGTTTCGCTCCAGGAAGCGTTGCAGAGTCGCAGATCCAGGGAAAGTACTGGGAAATGAATTGAGGCAAAGCCATTCATCCGTTCTCCAAGATGGGGTGGGAGGGAGAGAAAGATCGAAGGAAAGAAGAAACGCTCCACTGAAATATTCCTAGGAATTATCTTTTCCCTTCTCTCATCGGACACCCTATGAGAGAGAGAGAGAGAGAGAGACAGAGACAGAGAGAGAGAGAGAGAGAGAGAGAGAGAGAGCGCTGAGTACGTGCGTACGTTCTGGATTACTCATAGGACCTCCCACCACCCCAGGGCGCAAAAACCGTGAGCTGGGTTTATAATCGCCCCATAAAGCTCGGGAGGCTGGCAGGCACCCTCAACGGAGCCCCGCCGCCCCGCGGACCAGCGGCCCCGCGAGCAGCGGCCTCGTGACTCCCCCGCCCCGCGGGTCCCCGCCTCCCCTCTCCGCCCCCGCCTCCCCCGGAGCCCAGCGGCCGCCTCTCCGGGTCTGTCTCGTCTCCTCCAGGTTTTCGGGTGCCGGACAAGGGGTAGCACTGGTCAGGAAGCAGCTGGAGGTGACACGGGACATAAACGCCAGTGGCCGAGCCGAGCCCAGCCGGGTGGATCGCTGGACGCTACGCAGAGGAGCGGCGGGAGTGTCCAGCTCGGGGTCGCCGAGCCGAGGTGGGTCACCGCGCGACCTGCCGGCTGCCCGCCCTCGGCTTCCCGGCCCGCCCGAACCCCCGGCGCCTGCCGTCCAGCGCTCCCCGCCGGCCGCAGTCCGGGGTCTCGGCTCCGGCCCCGCGCGGGGCCGCCGGCTCCCCGCTCTCTTCCTCTCTTTGTCGGCGGTGTTGTGCCAACCCCACCCCGCCCCCCGAGGACTCAAGGAAGCTGAGATCCGAGCTGAAGTGAGACGGGAGCGACCCGCCCGGGCGCCTTCCAGGCTCCGCGCGCCCGGCTCTCCCCAAAGCGCCCCGGGCAGCCAGCCGCCCAAGGTGCGGCTGGGAGCGATAACCTGTTACTTCGCCAGGAGCGGTTCTCCCTGCCGTCCGCGTGGCTGCGAGAGTGCGCGCCCGTGACCAGGTGTGGGGCCCGAAGGCGGGGGGTGCAGGCCGTGGCTGCGGGGCTTTTCTTTGTGGGAAGGGGGGGGGGATCTTAGATCTCCCCAGATTCGCCTGCCCTCTCTCGCTCAATCCCGGAGCCTTTGGACGCCATGGCTCCAGCGCCGAGCGCGCAGCACCGGCGACGCGCGCTCATCTTTGTTCGCCGCCTCTGGCTGGTGGGGCGCAAGTTCATTCGCCCCCTGACCTCCCGGGTGGTGATCTCGTTTCTAACCTTCCCCACCCTCCTTAGGGCTAGGTAAAGGAGAAACCCCGAAAGTGGGACGGAGCTTGAAATGGCTCAACACAGGGTTGGGACCGGAGACAAACAAGCGAGGGCTGCTTTCGGCTGTCTGGAGTGCAAGGTGACTCTGGTTCTTGCCCGGCCGTGTCCTAGGGAGACCCAGAAAGCTAGGAACCGTTTCCTCTCCCTTCTCACCTTGTCTCACCAAGTGCCAGGTCCCGGGACCCGTGAGCCTCCTTCTTTCCAGGGAATTAGCCAGACACAACAACGCGAACCAGACACCGGAGCAGACGTGCCCGCCCCGCGCCCTCCCCCCTGCCCGCGCGCCGGCTGCGCCGAGCCCAATGGGGCTTGTCGCGGCTGGGCTGGAAAATCGCGCCCCGAGCGCTGGCGCCCCGGTGCTCCTCCGCCCGGCCCTCCACACCCCCACCACCCCACACGCGCCCTGCACTGGCCTTGAGCCACCCTCCCCCCCTGCACAGCGTCTCTCCAGGTCGCCCCACCGCGCGGCCAGACTGGAGAGCCGCCCCGGGCTGCGTGGCGGGAGCGAGCGCCCGCGTCTCCCCCCCCTCCCCACCGACCGCGCACTCCGACCCAGCCGGCTCACTGCGCTTCTCTTCCCTCGCCCCGCAACCAGGTTTTCGGGGAGCTTCTGCGCCCCCCTCCTCCCTCCAGCCTCCCAGTCACCTCCGGTGCGCAGGGAGCCTTTCCTATATAAAGCTCTCGCTTCTCTTCGCAGCCCGTTCCCGCTCGCGACCCACCCGCAGACCCATCCGGAGGACCCCTGACACTCGACACCCCAAGACGATCGAGCTGATGGCGTCCTCGACCCCTTCTTCGTCCGCAGCCTCCTCGAACGCAGGAGCAGATCCCAATACCACCAACCTGCGCCCCACAAGTAGGTCCTGCCCCAGTTTCCTATCAAATGGACTGCAGGGAAGATGGGGGCGCTGGGACGTCGCGAGGCTGCGCTGTCGGAAAGGGAAAAGGGGAGCGAGGACATGGTGGAGCCTGGGAAACAAATGGGGCTCTCGCCCAGCTCCCCTCTAGAGGTCATTTGGCTGTCAGGGACGTTGGGTGACTCCCGGGGCGCCGGAGCGCGAGGCCCACGCCGGGGCCGGGCGGCGGCGGCCGCTGGGGGCGGCGCGGCGGGCTAGGGGCGCCCGCACACGGCGCCGGGGTTTTGTTGTGCGGTGTTGTGGTTTCTTTTCCTGACGGGATAATAAGGGGCAGGGGAGGGGAGGGGCGAGAGGCGCCCGGGAGTCCCTGCGGGACTAGAGTGCTCGGTCCCCGGCTTTCGTTGAGCTGAGATCGGACCTCCTCCTCTTCCCCCAGAGCTGTGCGCGAAGTCTATAATCAACGGAAATTTCGACGTTAATTGCAGCTTTTAGAGAACTCAGGGCCCCTAATTGCTCCACGTTTGCGTCGAGCTCCTGACGAGGGAGGGGGAAGCCCAGGGGCGGGAGAGGTACGTGAAACGGACGGAACCTCCATCCTCCATACAATTAATCGCATCTTAGACGCAGAAAGGACACGGCAGGGGCGGCAACATTTTGCGTGGCGGGAGGTGCGAGGAGCCGGGGGAGGCAAAGCTTTGGTGGCGGGGAGACACCACCCTTCTCCTTTCTCCTGGACAAAAGTGCTGTCCGCAGGTGCCAGACCTGGGGGCGGGGGGCAGACAGGAATAAAAGGGGGGGCTTTCCCACCCTGAGCCTCCCCAGCTCTGGGGTCTTTAATTTGAACTTTGCTCCTGTCTGCAGAGGCGTGGGGATGAGAGATTTGTTTTTGTCTTTCCAGGTAGGGAAGTAGTATCTCCTTACACCCCCCTCCCCAAATCGACCAGCTCCAGACAGTAAGGGCATTCGGATTTTATTCAGGAGGAGCCTAGTGAAGATAGTGTGGAACGGAGGAAAGGCTCGTCGCGGAGCTTCTGTGGCGCTTTCTGTCCGCGGGAGGAGATAATTGCCCTCCTCCAGGAAGGCGAGGAGGTGTTATTAGGAGGGGCTCCTCTCCAATCCTTTGGCAGCGGGGGTCAGACAGGAGGCCTGGTCTCGAGTGCTTAGGCGACGTTCCAGTTGCCTTCGCAGCTCCCTCTTCCCGCCACCCCGGCGAGCTGCAATCACCCACACACCACAACAAAGAGGGGCTCGGGAAAGCGGCCAGTCCCGGCGCACGTGAGCCGGACACGGGCGGCGGAGCAGACTCGGGGGGACCTCCAGGCCCGCTCGTCTTTTGTCTATCGCTTTGGCCTTGATAGATTTCTTTCCAGTCCTCCCCACATCTCCCAACCACCACCGTTTCTGTTTCTGGTTTTTGTTTCGCTGCTGCACTGGCCGGGCTGGGCAGCAGGGGCATTCGTTAGTCCACCGGTATCCCTGTCCCCCAACAACGAACACCCAGATTTCTCCCATGGGCAGCCCCAGTCCACAGATGCCCAGTCCACATATGGCCTGGAGAGCCTGGATACTACTGAGGTAGAGGCGAGAAATCTGAGGAGCCTTCTTGGAAAGAGCAAGCAGGCTTCTCCAGAAATATTTGTGAGCACCCCCAGGCTGAACTCATCCACCCCAGCCTTGGTCCTCCTCACCCTCCCCTGCAGACACACCCTGACCCGACTCGCTAGTTCCACTTACTGGTTCCTTCAGAGCCTCTTGGGAAATGGCCTTGCTGCACCTGTGCACCTGGGCGCCTGTACTTCCCCTCTTGCTCTAGCAACCCCTGGGTGGCATGTGGATCCGTCTAGTCCCCTGCATTGGTGGTCTAGAATCCTGCTGTATCAACGGGGCCGATTCTTGAACTCTCCATCTCGGTTTTTCTTACTTTCCTCCATAACCTCCCGTTCTGAAAGGCTGTGAAATGTGCCTGAACTTCAGTCTCCGCTGAGTGACCTTGGAGAACTCACTTACCCTCTCTGAACCTAGAATTTTTTTTTTTTTAACATTGGAGTGTTAGATCAACACTTGCCCGGTGGGTTGAATGGAGCTGTTTTGAGGATTTGATGAGATTATATTTAAATCAGAGCACATGATCTGGTGGAAACAGCTCTTTTTGTGCCAGGTGCTGTTGTTGTTGTTGTTAGGGTTTTGCTTTTGGGGAAAAAAAAATGTTTTCCTGCTGGTCAGTGGAACTCCGTCTGTGGTGTGCAGTTTCCGGGAGGAGGTCAGGCCGTTTTCATTCTCCCGCTGGGGCTCTGTTGTGCCTGAGGTTGAATGGCCGTCACCTGCCTATCACAGGCAACCCCCGTGCGCGCTGGAGACCCGGGGTGGGGTGGGGGATGGGGTGCTCAGAGGCCCTTGCTTTGAGGGATGGAGGAGGATTTCACACTCGCTTGCACCCAGGCTTCTCAGGCACAGGTCTGCTTTACACGCGGCAAGTTAACACTAAACCCTGATGGCTTCAAGAAAAATCGACCCCTCCTGGGCCAGAGATGGAGACCCAGAGGAAAGGCTCCCGCTTCCATTCGCGCTCGCCCCCCTGCTCCAGACCGCGCTGTCTCTGGAAAGGGCTGGGGAAAGGCGGGGAAGAGGGGCCTGGGTCGAGAACCCGAGGCCCGCCATTGTCTTCCCGACTCCCCCGCCGGACTGCAGAGCAGCCATGCGAGCCCGATCATCTAGTCAAATACTATTTTTCACCCAATTAATTCCTGAACTCTTCTGCGACCCCATTTCATGCCAGTTTATTTTAAGCTGCCACTCAGCTGGAGACCTGCCAAGAAATTATGAGACGTTTCGGGCCCAGATGCCCGTTCCCTTTCGGGGCTGTTGTGGTCACCCTTCCAGTCGGGGGGCCCAGACCAGACGACAGGGCCTGGTCAGTGGGTGCTGAGCAACTCGAGCGCCCGGGGCTGGCCCTCGGGCGTGGGCTCAGCTTTCGCCCCGCTCCGACTGGGATCTCGGTGGCTGCCAGGCGGCGATCGCTTAGGAGCCAGGTGGGCGCCGGGAGCCCCGTCTTTCAGACTTGCAGAAACTGGGCTGTGCAGCTGACGCCCCGGGCAGGGAGGGAACGCACCTGGAGCTGGGAAGGCGCGGGTCTGCGTGTGGGGCGCGCAGATCTGGCTCCTTCCCCCTAACACGAGAGAGTTTTTAATGGGCGCCGAGGAAGAGCTCCCCTGCCCGCGCTGTCCCCGCCAGCCGCCCACGGTCTGCCCGCGCATCCCTAACCGCACCTTCCCCCCCCTCTTGTTTTTAGCCTATGACACCTGGTGCGGAGTGGCCCACGGATGCACCCGGAAGCTGGGGCTGAAGATCTGTGGTGAGTGGAAGGACCCCGCCGGGGTCCTGCGGGGCCGGGCTGGGGGGCAGCGGCGCGGGGCCGCACTCCGCGGCGGGGCGCGGGGAGGTGGTGTGGATCCTTGTGCTTCGATCTGGTTTTCTAACCTTATCCCATTGTCTCTGTCACACGCACACACATTCACACTCACACACACTCCAAGCCCAGGCTCACCTCCGCCCTCCCCCCACCAGACGGAAAGGGCCTTGTCCTCCGGAGCCCGTGCTCCCGCAGAGAGAGCCCGGTGCAGGGAGCGGCGGGGCGCCCTGTCCCGGCACGCGAGCCGCAGCCCGGCGCCCCCACGCGGCAGCCCGGCTCTGCTGCCCCGGCGCCCGCTCCGCCCGTCAGGCTGGGTCGTGTGGGAGACGCGAAGTGACCCCACGCGGGGACCGACGCGCCCCCTCCTCTTCAGGAACGCGCGCCCCTGCCCCCCTCCCGCCGCCCCCTCCCCCTGGGTCTGGGTGCATAGAAAGTGGTTCTCTCGCTTGGGAGTTTTGCCAGGAGATGTCATAATGGATCCAGATTTTGTTCTGGGGCGGGGGGCTGAGAGGCTAAGGGAAAGGACTGTGTGCAGCCCCTCGGTGGCCAGCCTGGAGGAGGCGTGGGCAGCGCCGGCCAGGGGGTGGGCCCGGCCTTATCTCTGTAGGCAGGAAGGAAAGGAGAAAGAGTAGGCGGAGGCCGATGGAGGGGAACGGGGGGGGGGGGACGGGGGGGGGGTGTCTGGCACGATTTGCCAGCAGGGAAGGAAAATAGATCGGGGAGCAGGGGAGGGGAAGGAACTGCTCTCGGGAGACGTGAGGGCCTGAAATGAAAACGCCCAAGGGATGTCATTTTTTTTTAAGGGAGAAAAGGAGATTTGTTCGAGGGGACACGGCTGAGTGGCTCTGGCTGAACAATGAGGACTTGCTTTCCTCGCTACATTTCACCGTCTAAAATTCGCCAGCCTACTCGGGCTAGAAAATACGGGTGTCCCCAAGGCAGGGTGTGGAGAGGCGGGGGTGGGGGATTAACGAGGGGCTTCTTAAAGAGCCATCGGCCGGCCCGCGGCTGCGCCGGGGAGATAACGGCGGAGTCAGAGCGGGGCACGCCCCCATCCCAGCTCCGGGGCGCACGGGGCCGACCGGCTGCGGGACGCCTGTAGGTCCCGGCATCCCAAAGTAGAGACAGTTTGGAGCCGAAGCCAGCGGAGAGGGAGGGGTTATTTAGCGACCTTTGGAAATCACCACTCCGTTCTGCTTGATCGCATTATTGCGCCCTCCTTGCGTTTTGGGGAGGGTTGCTGTGTGCCTTCAATCCTGAAAAGGGGAGCTCAACTCCTAGCTCAACAGTCCGGCGGCGGAGCAGCCTGGAGGGGTCGGGTCCACTCCCCAGGCACGCCAGGCCGGTGGGCGACACCCGGGTGTCAGCGGGGAGCCCGAGCTTTGTTCTGTTAATAGCCCCCCCTTCGCCCCCCGCCGCCATTCCCTGCTTAATGGCCCATTTCGCGCTAGATCCCTCCAGAGGGCTCGGCGCTCGCCTTCGGCAGCCGTCATTGTTCACGCAGCCGGGCCACTGAGAGAGAGGGCCCCAGCCTCCCCGGGACCGAGGACTGGGTAGGCACGGGCTCGGGGTGCAGGCCACCTGCCCTGCGATCCTGGTCCTGCGGGAGTATTCCTGAGGGAGTCCCCGGCCACCCTCTCCTGCCCCTATGTCCTGATGCTCTTGTGAGGGGACCCTTGCGTCCCAGCGCCGCTTCTGGGGACTCAGCACTTGTCCTCAAAGGGTAAAGTTAACCGAGCACGCGCGCGCCGGGGCGCGCCATCCTCCGCTGCCCCGGAGCAGGGCAGGACCGGGTTAAGCTCTGCTGGGTTTGAGAAACTAGGAGACCCTAAATTGCCATCAGCTGCCCCATCTAGCTATCAGCCAAAACCTTGGGGGAAGAGAGTTCCTGGGTTGTTTCTTCCCTGCTCCCCTACCCCCCTCCCATACATACACACCCCAACACTAGTTTCTGGAAAGTTACAACCTGAGTGACAGGAGAAGAGGATGGAATCGTCTCCTGAGGGGAAATTACCTACTGCTCAAACGCTGTGCCTTTGGGGCCACAGATTAGGAAGTTCCCATTAGCTTTGATTCTGAAAAGGGAACACAACTTCATGAGGATTTCTTTCCCATAGTTTAAGGCCAACTCTGGCTTTCCATTTTAATACACTGGAAGCTGAGTTCAGTCCTTCATTTTGATCCTGGTTGTACAACGCCCTCCTAACCTATACACACCACACCCAGTCCCTCTCTCCCAGACCCTCAAGGTACCTGCTGAAGCATTCTTGACCCAAAGGTACCAAAGCTGATTTATTTTATTTTATTTTATTTTCACTTTAAGACAGCATAGGAACTGTGGTCCTCTTCCCACCCTCAAGTCCTTTTCTCTGGGCCACATATTTCCCTGTATGACATCCTCAGTGCCTTGCCAAATTCAAACCCCATCCACCCTCCTCTTCTTCCCCACAGTCCAAAGAGTGAAGCTGCAGGTAGGTCATGGGTTGTACCCTTAGCTCTGGAGGGTAGTACCTCCCTGGAAGTGAAATCAGACAGAAGAAACCTATGGTTTGTCAAGAGCTGGACAGTAGCTGTGGCCTGGTGGCATGACCTACATAGAATGGGTCCCAAGGAGCCCTAAATTCTGGCTTTGGGCTCTTCTAACCATTCGATGCCTCCATTACTTATTTATTCAGAGGTCCCAAACTTGTTGATTGCTGTCCTGAGTCATGTTATTTAGTCCACACTATATGGGTGTGTTTGATTTTGATTCATCAGTTTTTAAAAATAGGCCTCAAGAATTCTGTATCTCTGCAATTGCAAGGTAGTCCTCCTCAGCTTTTCTCTTTATTCTCAGAATGTGGAGTCTCCTGACCAGTTATCCATAGACTGACATTAGGGCCTTGCAGCTGGAGTACAGACAGAGGTGAAGTTAAGCTTGCCCCTGTCTCAGGAATTCCTGCTCCAAGAGAACTCTTCTGTAGCTAGGAATGTTGTCAGAGCACCCTCCTCTTCATTCTTAAAAGAGATGGCTGCTTCCAGATCATTCACTTGTAAGGATCCCAGTATTTTAGAAAACCAAAGCCTTCCTAAGCAAAGTAAAAGAAATGACAATACCTTAAAACTTTGCATTAGCCGGGCTCCAGTGGTGGCTCACACCTGTAATCCTAGCTACTCAGGAGGCTGAGATCTGAGGATCACAGTTCAAAGCCAGCTCGGTCAGGAAAGTCTGTGAAACTCTCATCTCCAATAAGCCACCAGAAAACTGGAAGTGGCGCTGTAGTTCAAGTGGTAGAGCGCTAGTCTTGAGCTGCAGAGCTGCGGAACAGCACCCAGGCCCAGAGTTCAAGCCCCATGATCGACAAAAAAAAAACACAAAAAAATTGCATTAGTTGAAGCCAGGTGCCAGTGGCTCACACCTGTAATTCTAACTATGCAGAAGGTTGAGATCTGAGAATTAAAGTTCAAACCCAGTGAGGGCAGACAAATCCAAGAGATTCTTATCTTCAGTTAGCCAACACAAAGGCAGAAATGGAGCTGTGGGTCAAGTGATTGAGAATTAGCTGTGAACAGATAGCAAGAGGCCCTGGATATGTGTTTGTATGTATGTGTATTGTTTACCATAACTCATAGTGGCTTTTAACACAAATTGTTTTGCAATATAAGTGTGCTACCCATAATACCATCACAGAATCTAGATAAAATTCTGATTCTTAGTGCATTATAGGAAATGTCCAGCAATAGCTTTGAGTCCAAAGCTATGTCATATTGGTATCTCTCAACTTTATCAGGAGATTTCTAGAAGAAACTCAATGTAAACCAGACACAATATCCAAATCCTAAACTTAGACTTTATTCCTGAAGCGGGTTCCAGGGGGTTTTGAGGTTCAGGGACTTAAGGCTTTCCCAGTAGTGAGTCAGAATCCAGTGGAGGTCAGAAGTTGGGGACTACATAGGTGGGCAGGGCAGACCACATGGTCTCTCCAGCCTAATGAATTTCATAACTACTGTTCTAAGACTAGGGGAACAGTATCAGGATTTGGGAGGCAGGTGATCAACCCTCCTGCAAATGAGCCTGCTTCTGAACTCTGGGGATTTGGAAGAGGGAAAACATAGAAGGAAGGCAAAGGTTATATTCCATCTCTGTACCCAAGTATGCAACTCAATTATAGCTTACCTTCCTCCTTCTGGCGTCCTTTGGGGTTTTGATGGCAAGTTTAAAAGGCTCTGGGAACTGTGAAGGGCCAGGTGTTTCTGCCTTCCTTTTCTTCCCTCCAAAAATAGACTCTGGCTCCTGTGTGTGGGAGGACTCTAATCAGCCTTCTCCTGCATCCCTCTGCCACCCAGCACCACTGAACTGTGTCCTAGGGAAGTAGAGCTGAATTCCCAGATTAACTTGCTTTCCTTTGCACCTCCTGGGAATTTCTTCCAAGCCTATCTAATGATAACTGTGATTCCCCAAGGACCTTTGTGTCTACAAAGACAGGTTTCAGGTCACCAAGAAGCTTTGTGATTCCCCCCACCTTTTTTTTTCAGGGTGCTCCCTTTAGTCCTAGGATTGAGGCTGCACTAAGGAGATGATAAGAAGGGAATGGCCTTGAAGGCTGGGAGACCAGAGAGATAGGAGGAGGGACTGGAAGCTGACATATTCTCTAAGCCCTTTGGCTCCACCTTGCTCCTCATTTGCAGATGGTGGTTTTTTTGTAGTCCTCCAGGGAAGAGATTTCTCCTCCTTTTCAGGGATTCTTAGAGGTGTTGTGAATACTACCCTAAGATCAGACTCTGGCCTTAGAATTTGTTGAGTTCTTAGTAACTTCCTATCTTTATTACAACTGTAGTTTCCATCTGTCAGACTGTAAGCTCCTGGAGGGGATGTCTGTGCCTCTCATTTATCTTCATCTTCCTGTCCTGACTTCATAGAAGACTGCTTTTCCACACGCACTGCTCATCTAGTCCTCGTAGAATTAAATGTCAACACCCATATGATTTAAATATTTCTTTTCTTCCAATACCTTTATTAATGAGGGAGAAGAAGAAGCAAGAGGCATTTGTAGGGGAAAAAAACTGCATTATAGGGTTGGTTCAGGAAAATTACATGTTCTGCCCTAAAGGTTAGCTAGTGACAGAAGAAAGCATCTTCACGAATTCCCAGAACCTCAGCTTCTTCTTCCCTCCCCTGTCTTCATCTTCCTCTTTCCTCTGCTGTCCCCACCCTCTTTCCCCTCCTGTCTTCACCTTCTTCCTTCCTTTACAGTCCTCATCCTTTTCTCATTCTGTAGCTCTCCCCCTCTTCCCATTGCTGACCTCCCCCTCCTTCCTCTGATTGCACAGCACATAAATTCAGCACTGGCCACATCCTCTCTGAGGGTCCCTTCCTTCCAAATTCCATCCTGAGGCTGGTTATTGGAGTGGAAGCTGTCCATTTGACTTAATCCTGAGTTTGCTGTCACATTCAGGGAAGAGAATGGGCCTAACTTACTGTTTCTCTCTTGCATGACTGGGCCTGTACTACTGATGACACTTGGCACTGCCCCTCTCGGCCTGAAACAGAGCAGGGCCAGAGCCTCTAGATGGAAAGCACGGATGCTCACTGGGATTCTCAGCAGAAACAAGAGCCCTGCTTGGAGCAGACTAGTCCAGCAGCTGACCCTTGCTGGTTGGGTAGTTTCCAGTCTCTCTGACCCAGCTTCCTCTGCCTTAGGCTTCTTGCAGAGAACCAACAGCCTGGAAGAGAAGAGTCGCCTTGTGAGTGCCTTCAAAGAGAGGCAGTCCTCCAAGAACCTGCTTTCCTGTGAAAACAGTGACCGTGATGCTCGCTTCCGGCGCACAGAGACCGACTTCTCCAACCTGTTTGCTCGAGGTGATCCCTCACCCACCCCCATATATACATGGTGCTAGCTAGTTGCTTCCTAATGCAAATGTCCTGACTTTTTTGTCCCTGACATTTTACTCCTTTTACCAAGAAAGAGCATTGTTCACAGTGAGTTCATACAGCTCACAAAACTGCTTTTTAGACTTTTCTCTAGTGCCTTGGTTTCACTGTTTCAGAAGGTAAAAGAGAAAGTCTGTAAAGCAATTCTACCTGGAGGTGTGGCTCAAGTAAGCGAGCACTTGCCTAGCAGGTGCAAAGACCTAAGATAATACCCAGTATTGGCAGAAGAAAAAAAAAATCACAACAAAAATCTCTAATTTCAAGCCAGATGCCAATGGCACATGCCTGTCATTCTAGCTACTCAGGAGGCTGAGATTTGAAGGTCACAGTTCAAAGCCAGTCAGGACAGGAAAGTCTATGAGACTCTTACCCCCAATTAGCCTCCAAAAAGTCAGAAGTGGAGCTATGGCTCAAAGAGTATAATGCCAACCTTAAGAGAAAAAGCTAAGGGACAGTGGCCAGGCCCTGAGTACTGGCACACACACACAAATAACCAATTCTAAAGATACAGGCAGAGATAAATATAAATTTGTAAAATCTCTGAATCTAAAGGAATCTAACATTTAAAAATAATTACAATGATTTCTAACACATTTATCCTCCAAGGTTGCCCCCTCCAAGCCACCCTATGAGAAGCTCACCATCTAGGCCACATAATCAAAAACTGTGAGACTCATTTTCCTCACGAGCTCTGTCCCTCACTGCTGCTGCCCTCAAATGCTCATCTTGGTCAGCATTTTTCTGGCAGCTCAAAGGTAGACCCACCACTACAACTTCTGGCAATTCCTATTGGGCCACTAAAGCCAGACCAGAACACTGAAACCTCCGACTGCCCAGGGAACAGACAGAGTATCCTATATATAGCCCAACAGCCTGCCCTGTACTAGAACTGACACCTCCACAGTTGTTGGAGTCCTACACGCTCTCCTCCCTGGCTTTACCACTCTACCTGACTCTGTTTTGCAGTGCCTTAGCCCTAAGTCACCTCCATACATCTCAGGATCCAGGCCCAGACATTAAGGTCAAGATAGGGGTCCCGTGCCTTACCATCTTGAGCCAAGTTCTACTCTCTTGCCACAGAAGCTTTATCCTCTGCTACCAACAGATGGAGCACAACATTAAGGCCAAATCAGGCAATGCATGTCTGATTCTCAGCACAGATATGTACATATCCTGGAATATAGTTAGGCCTGTCAAGATATCAAGGCTGACATTAGGGATCTCTGGACCCAGGAAACCAGGTATGAGGAAGTGATCACATCTCTTTGGCTTTCCTCCATTAGACCTGCTTCCAGCTAAGAATGGGGAAGAGCAGACTGTGCAGTTCCTACTGGAAGTGGTAGACATACTCCTCAACTATGTTCGCAAGACGTTCGATCGTTCCACCAAGGTGCTGGACTTCCACCACCCACACCAGTTGCTGGAAGGCATGGAGGGTTTTAACTTGGAACTCTCTGACCACCCGGAATCCCTGGAGCAGATCCTGGTTGACTGCAGAGACACCCTTAAGTATGGGGTTCGCACAGGTAAGAGTGAGAGCCAGCAGGATAGGCATCTCACCCTGGCCAGTGGTGAGGGCAAGGCATGCTGGAGGAGAAGCGTGGACCTGCTGAGGGGAGGTGGCAAAGTATTGCCCCCAAGAGCAACTCTGGGTAGCAGCAGTTGAATCAATCCCAGCAAGAGTGTGTTGTGTCATCATTTCTTGTAAAAGATTAAAGAGCTACAGGTACATGATAATAGGTCAAAGTTCCCTTTTTTGTTGCTTTAGGCTACTCGGTTTGTTTGGTCACCTTCTCTCCACATTCATGCATGCTTCATTCTGTTCATTCCTCCTTAGACTTGCCTATCACTGACACTAGATGTTTGGGTCCATGTTCTTCCTTTTCTGAATTAGTTTCCTAAGGCTGTCATTACAAATGATCAGAATCTGGGTGATTTCAAGCAATGGAAATCTACCCTCTCACACTTCTGGAGTCTTGAAACTCAAATCAAGGTGTTGGCAAGGCCATGCTGTTTTTGCAGGGTCTTTGGAGATTCTCAGAGAAGATCCATGATTAGCTTTATCTGTTTCTGGGAATTGTGAGCATTCTGCTTAGCATTCCTTGGTGTGGAGCCGCATCAGTCCTACCTCTACCTTCACTTTCATAAGTACATTCAAACTGCCTCTTGTCAAAAGGATAATGGGGCTGGAGGTATGGCTCTGCCTCAGAGCATCTGCCTAGCAAGTAAAAGTCCCAGAGTTCAAACTCCATTACCACTTTCAAAAAATAAGACACTAGTCTTTAAGTTAAGGCTCATCTTAATCTAGCATGACTTGATATTAATTTGATTACAGTATGAAGACTCTATTTTCTAGTAAGGCCATAATTACAGGAACAAGGGATTGGTTCTTGAGCTTATCTTTTTGAGAAGAATGGTTAACCTCAAAAAACCATCAATCAATATTTTCTCTCTCTGTCTTTGTCTCTCTGTCTCTGTCTCTGTCTCTGTCTGTCTGTCTCTCTCTCTCTCTCTCTCTGTCTTTCTCTCTCCTTCCACATGCTACTCTAATCTCTGGAGTTTAGAGTGACCAAATTCTATTTTCTCTTTTTTGTTTCATTGGGCCTGAACTCTGGGCCTGGGCACTGTTGCTCAGCTCTTCAGCTCAAGGCTAGCACTCTACCAGTTGAGCCACAGCTCTTCTGGCTTTTTCTGCTTATGAGGTGCTGAGGAATCGAACCCAAGACCTCATGCATGCAAGGCAAGCACTCTACCACTGAGCCACCTTCCCAGCCACCCAAATCCTATTTTCAACTAGTTGAAAATGCAAGATTGCAAGGTTGTCTTCTTGCTCCCTTTTCACATTAGAGAACTGTTCTCTAATCATTAAAGAGTTTACTTTCCAGTTGTATCAAATCCAGGGACCTTTTGGATCGCTGTCTGAGCTAACAGAAGTAAAGTAGTTTCTATCTTCCCTTCCACAGCCTGGCTTTTCTGAGCTTGGATGTAGACAAGTCTTCAAGAACTGGCAGTTCTTGGTCCAGTTGCCACCACTGGGGAAGCCCCAAGACCACAACTGGCAGGCCCTTGTTCTTTCCTCTTCTTTCTCTTTCTTTGTCTTTTATGTTACCTTTTACTCTTCTCAGTCATTAGAAGATAGATTTAAGATCAGGACTGAGAAAGATGGTGGAGATAAAGCTGAGTAAGGCTATTAGATGTCAAAACCAATGTATGCAATGGATTAATGAGGCTGGCCAAATATTTTTTTAAATTAGGAATCTCAATAGTTTTTGATGTCTGCCAATACCATTGGACTAAGGAAAGTTTCATTAAATAATATGCAGTCTCTTTGTTTAATTAGTAAAGTACTTATCAATTTATGTATATTTCACATTTTTCTAATAACTAACCTATTCCTGATGGAAAATAAGTAGTAGTATTTGGCTGAAATAAAAAAAATTGCTGGGTGAAATGTATAAATCAGGACATGCCCTTCCCCCCCCCAAAAAAAATAATTTCTAGGTGTGGTGGTACACAACCTGTAATTTTAGCCTCTCAGGAAGTAAGATTTGGATGCTCACAGGTTGAGCCCAACCTGGGCCAAAATTAGCAAAACTTAACTCAACCAAGGTATGGTGGCTCACATCTATGATCTAGCTACTTAAGAAGTATACTTAGGAGGATGGAGGTCTGAAGCTAACTCTAGTCAGAATTATGAAACCCTATCCAGGAAAACCAACTAGAGCAAATAACAAGGGGCTATCGAGCATGACTTAAGTGATAGAATTCCTGCCTATCAAGAAGAGATCTTAGTTCAAATCCCAGCACTACAAAGAAGAAAATGAATCAATTCCCCACATATATTTCTTCCTTGGTTTGCTTCCTTCCAATGTTTTAGAAGGAAAAGTTTTGTCCCAATGTTTTTCAGGGTTTTTTGGGGTTTTTTGATTGATCGTGGGGCTTGAACCCTGGGCCTGCGTGCTGTCCCTGCACTCTTCAGCTCAAGATGAGTGCTCTACTGCTTGAGCCACAGGGCCACTTCCAGTTTTCTAGTGGTTTATTAGAGATTAAGAGTCTCACGGTCTCTCCTGCCCGGGCTGGCTTTGAACCACGATCCTTAGATCTCAGCCTTCTGAGTAGCTAGGATTACAGGTGTGAGCCACTAGCGACCAGCTTTGTTTTTCAGTTTTTTCCACACACACTTCCTCAAAGAGATAGGTACCACTTACATTCATCATTAGCTACAAAAATGGTGTTGTCCCTTAAAGAAAAACACATGACTTTGTCATAACAGCATCTCATATCTCAAAAATGAAGTGTTTCATGGTCAGAGAAACGTGTCATTGGCTGAGTGTATAAATCACTTAGATATTTAGTCTGCAACCATCTATCCATCTCTGATTTTAGAGCAACTTTAGGAAGCAGATATTTGCATTTCCAGAGTTTATGATCTTCCAAGCACTGGAAAACTTTAAATTCTATATTGTACTTCAGGGTATTGCCCTGTTGATGGTTCTGTGTGTATGTATAAGGGGAAAGGGTATGTGCATGTGTGTGTGCGCTGCTACTGAGACTTAAATTCTGGGGCTTGCACTATTGTCTGGTTTTATTGCACAAGGTTGGTGTTCTGTCACTTGAGCCATTTTGCTGGTTAATTGGAGATACAATTTGTCTGTCTGAGCTGGCTTTGAACCTCAATCCTCAGATTTCAGCCTCCTAGGATTACAGGCATGAACTACTAGTGCTTGGCTTTTTGTGGGATTTTTAAAGATATTTGTTTATCAATACTCAGCCAAAATAGTAAATTGGGTTTTTCTAGTGAAAAGATACTGCTGTGGATGCATTCTGCACAGGGATGTTGGCAATGTATTATTCATCCTTAAGAACTCTTTAAAAAATAACTACAGTATCGTGCTTTATTGTTTTGTTAAAAAGCTAAAGTCTATGTTCTTTAATATGATACAGTATTCGGTGTTCAATTTCTCAGTTGTCTCATGAATGTCATAAAGGTCATATTTTGTTTTAATGCATTTGAATCAGTATCTAAGTAAGTCCTTACACTGAAGTTGGTTAATATGTCTCCTAAATAATAGATTTCCTTCTCCAACTCTTTTTTCCCCTTGCAAATATTTGTTAAAAATCTAACTTAAGAAACCCCACAAGTCTTTCTTTCTCTCCAACCCCTTACCTGACATGGGTCACCTGCTGACCCAGGTCCTGTTTTATCATCTGTTACATTCATGGAATACAGAGTTGAAGTTGAAATGTAGGGCCATGCATGGTGAGTTATGACTATAATCTTAGTATCTGGGAGGCTGAGGAAGGAAGATTTCAAGCTCAAGGCCAACCTGGGCTCTAATAGAGTTCCCCAGGGTAGCCTGTGCAACATAACAAGATCTTGTATCAAAAACATAAAACAAAAACAAATTGAATTCTAAGCTAGATTCTTACTTAATAGAAAATCTGGTGGGAGATTTTAAGAAAGAAGATTGTAGCCCTATGCCAAAGGGTTTGGGGGGGAGGAGTGGAGTTGTACCTTACGTTTCAATGGCCAAAGAGATGTTGTTACAATTTGGGTCCGTCTCTGCACTGTTCATCTTTTGACTCTGCCGTACTATGTGGTCTTAGTGCATCATCACATGAAGTGTGATTGTTTTTATTGTGTATATTTATGCTTCAGTCCTATTTTAAGACAAAAGATTTGTGTTTAAACACGTATGTGCATGCGCGCATCAGTTCTAGGGCTCGAACTCAGAGCCTGGGTACTTTCCTTAGCTTTTTTGCTCAAGATGGCACTCTACCACTTGAGCCACAGTTCAAGCAAACACTTCTGGCTTTATGGTGGTTAATTGGAGCTGAATCTCAAGGTCTTTCATGCCCAGGGTTGGCTTTGAATCTCAATCTTCTAACCTCAGCTTCCTGAGTAGCTTGGATTACAGGAATAAGCCACTGGTGCCCAGCTATGCATATACCCTTTAGTAAATTTCTTCAAGAATATCTTATAGATTGTCACTAAGCAAAGTGGAGTAAAATAGAATAGTGTAAGCTACTTAGACCAGTCCACAAAAGCATCTGGAATCTGGCCCCAAATCTGGTGCTATATTCACATCAAATTAACTGTTCATAATACTTTTTTTTCTGGAAATCAGTTTTATTTTTGGAAGAGTCTTGTGGTGCAAGGAATGGTATCTTCTAAGAAACCATAGTCCAGTTTTCAGAATGAGAGTCCCTCAGATCTAGGCAAGATAGGTTCTCAGGGAAGGAAGTTAGACCAGAAACATTCAAACACTAGCTCTCTGACAGTTATTTCAGAGGCAAAAGCAATTTTCTACTGGAAACATAGTAGTCAGCAAATCTCTTTAACACTGGTTCTCTGTCACACATCCCTAGATAATCTATTGTGTTGATTTCTTCGTGACAGCTAAGCCAAGCCTGCTGCTGCAGAGTTGAGGTTTTTGGTGAATGCAAGGCGGCAAAAACTTGGCAATAGTCCTGCATTTGCTGAAAGCATCTCCAGTTAAAGCATCCCAGGCACTGCACGGGGCTTTCAAGTTGTGCAGCAGTGACAGTTCCTCCCCCCCCCCGTTGGCTGGGCAAGTGAGTAAGGACTGGCTCTGCTCTGCCCATTCTGCAGAGGAGATGCTCGATTGGCTCAGCAATCAATCAGCTCAGCTACTCTAAGGGGCATGTGACTCCACATAGGCAAAACACTGCTACTTCATGTCACATCTGTCAGAGACCTGGAGAGTGATGGAATGGCCTCAGCATAAAGCGTCAGAGCTGGTGCTTTCTCCAGGCTTGGTTTGGTTCACAGACCTAAGAACCCTTCCTGACACCAGCATCCTCTTCTCCACCAGAAAAAATCTTGATCTGGGGATTCAGTTCCTCAGGATGTTGACTTGAAAGTTGAAACAGATATATTAAAAAATTAGGACCACCATATCCTTTGTGTAACTCAAAAGTTAATGTGACAGAGGAGTTCACCTGGAAATTAAGAAAACAGTTATTGGAGAGCATAATTAGTTTTGTCATATTCATGTTTTTTTAATTTGAAAGCACAGTACTTTATTCATTCATTCCTTCATTCAATTCATTCATATATTAGCAGTTCCATGATTTGAAGGTGCTATGTATGCATGCTACCACTTGGTTAGTACAGGTGGATCAACCTGCACTTCCTTCTCCATATCTGTGTACAGCCCAATGAGAACACAGAATGGAGACCTCATCAATGTGGTCTTGTAGATCAGGCCTTTCGCTCTGAATATAGCTTGAAGTCTGCGGATTTTCCTTGATGCTTGCCTGTTACCTTTTTAGGTCATCCTCGATTTTTCAACCAGCTCTCCACTGGATTGGATATCATTGGCTTAGCTGGTGAATGGTTGACATCAACTGCCAATACCAATATGTAAGTCTCATAGATTCTTGTCATATATGCCATCATGATGTTTAACTCTAGCTAATTGATTTAAAAGCCCAATTTTAATAGTTTCATTAAAGTTCCAATAGTATTTTTAAGTCATTTTTCTTATAATATCTTGGCTTTGTCACAGTTCTGGTTTCATAGTAGATTCTTGATAAACTGTTCTTGAATTGAAAAAAATAAAATTTAATAAGTACATGAGAAACAAACAGTAACTCTAGCTTTCAAAATTCAGTGTGAAATTTCACAGTGATAAACCCTCCTCTCTGAATGGTATATCACACTTTGGGCTGTGATTGTGGTATCCTTTTCTCTTCTGAGACATTGATTCTAATCACTTAGGCCCTATTTCCTTTGTAATTAAAGCTGCCAGAAAGCCACAAATCAACCCAATCAACCTATTGCTTAACTAAAAGTTCTGAAATAGCTGGGTGCCAATGGTTCACACCTGTAATCCTAGCTACTCAGGAGGCTGAGATCTGAGGATCACGATTGAAAGCCAATCCCTCAGCAAAGACCGTGAGACTCTTATCTCCAATTAACCACCAGAAAACTGGAAGCGGCACTGTGGCTCAAGAGGTAGAGCGCTCAATTTGAGCTGAAGATCTGAGGGACAGTGCCCAGGCCCAGAGTTCAAGCCTCGTGACTCCCCCTTCCCCCAAAAAAGTTCTAAAACAAAATTCAGCTGGTACTGATACATTGTATATGTCTTCCAAAATAATTTATTATTTTGCTGAATTTGACATTGTTTCCATACTTAATTATGGGGACAGACTTTCATTTATTCTAAGTTCTTGTATATCTTGGGAGTAGTACTGAGCCTTATTCTTGCCAGGCAAGTACTCTATCACTTGAGCCATATCACCAACCCATAGGTTCTTCTAAATTTATATAAAAATAACTCTGAAGTTCTGGGGTTACAAGTAGCACATGAGTAGTTTTCTTCTTTTTGCTTATGTGGTGCTGAGGAATCGAACCTAGGGCTTCAGGCATGCAAGGCAAGTGCCCTATCACTGAGCCACCTTCCCAGCCCCAAATAGCTTTCTTATAATCACCTCCAAAGCTTTCTCTGCATATGGGTGCCCTCATTAGAGAAAAGAACAGGTAACAAGATATGAAGGTCATCGGAGCCTAGGAACTACTTTCTCTGAACAAAAATGACAATGTTTGCTACTATCCATGGCACTGCATTTGATTAAAGTATACATGGAGAAAATAATGAAACAAATTTATTACAACATTCTAATAATAGCATAAGAATGATAATGCATCGATTGTAATATTCAGAAGCTAGCTACCTATTTACTTGCTTGTTATTTATTAGTTTCTTTATGTAAAATACTGTGCTAGGACCAGATACACAGCATTCATACATGCTAACCACATGTTCGACCACCTAGCTACACCCCATTCCTACTCACAAAGTTCATGACAAAGTAGACTCTGAAATATGAATTCAGGTATAACAGTAGTATTGTTTGCAATGAGAAATTCCACTTAACATCAAGATAGAACACAAGTTATTGAAGCTCAAACTATTTTATTTTTTCTAAAGCAAAACTTGACCTGCCACAAAATCAAAAGAGCATTTGAATATTACATATTGTTCATGCATGTTCCTAAATGGTCTAAGACTATGACTCAATAAAACTACATTCAAGAAAGTTTTAATTAATTAAGGATTCTTGCTTCTTTCGTTAATTTAAAACAAACATTGGCAAAGTTTTAGAAGTAAATGTGGTAAGTGAAGGTTTTAAAGCTAAAAAGTATAAAAAATTCAACTGATTGAAAACCACAAATGGTTTCATGCTCCTTACTCACAAGTCAGGTGTAAATTCATGGAATGTCTATGGTGATCCCTGAGATTTTTTTTTTCCAGAAAAGCTGTGGAACAATTTTTTTTTAGGTTTTTAAACTTTTTGTCATTGTTATCATAAAGGTGATATAAGAAAGCCTACAGTCACATAAGTCAGAAAACAGTATGTTTCATTTTGGACAGTGTTACCCCTTCCATTGCTCTCTCCCAGTTTTTCCCTTCCATCTCCATCCAGATCCCAAAATCCAGATCAGAGACAGAACTGCTTGGTTGATCTCCTCAAACAAAGAATTCATCTTTGCAAGACCTACTGTACTTTGACTTGTGGAATAAAAATCTAACAGCAAGCACAAGCACTATAATGTGCTAATTATAAGTTTATGCAAACCAGAATGCTATTTGTAGTGTCTAACACTAAGGAACAATTTAAATTAAAAAGTACAGTTTGTTTTAACTCAACAGTTTAGAAAATAAACCAGGGGTTGGGAAGGTGGCTCAGTGGTAGAGCGCTTGTCTTGCATGCCTGGGCCCTAGGTTCGATTCCTCAGCACCACATAAGCAAAAAGAAAAAAGCCAGAAGTGGTGCTGTGGCTCAAGTGGTAGAGCGCTAGCCTTGAGCTGAAGAGCTGAGGGACAGCACCCAGGCCCAGAGTTCAGGCCCCACGACCGGACCCCCCCCCAAAAAAAGAAAATAAACCAGAAAAAGCACAGTAAAAGGTATTTATCCACTAAAGCTCAAGTGCCCATAACAGTGTAGGCACTGAACCCATCCAGTGTCTTCAAGTATGTGTTTTATAGACCCCTTGCTGTGGTTTCCCAATATGCAGCCAATCTAAAGGTAAATAAAAAGGAACTCACCATCCCTTTGAGTTGTTTATGGCCTGGTGGTCTCCTGGTAGCTTTCTGTCAACCAGAAAGCTCCTACAAATGCTCCCCTACTCCATGTTGATGAAATAAAAAGTCCCAGCTCTTCTTTTACCTCAGCTCAGCTACAAAACACTAAACTGATGTCCCAGCCATCTGAGGTCAAGGCCAATCCAGCTAAATGACACACAGTAATTGCTTCTCAACTGAACAGTAGGTATTTATAAAATATGATCTGATTCTAACAGATCGATAGAGAAGGTTATTTAAAATAGTGAAATCATTTCTGTCAGTTGTAGAGACAGAGCATTGTCTGAGGAAGTAATAACTATTACCTAGAAATTGTCCTAAGCCAGTCCCACTAGAAAAGCATGAAATGCCCCAGTGTTGTAAAGCCAGGCAACATTTTTCCCCTGTGGCAATCCCGTCTTCAATGGGAATGATGTTAAACTAAGTCGGGGGGGGGGGGGGGGGAGGGGAATGGCAAAAGAATCTTTCTTTGGCACAGTATGATTTAGTTGGTTTTATGTTCTTTTTTAAACCTGCCCTTACTGAGTTTGCCTCGAGTAATAGAGAATAATTACTATATTCCTTTATGTAGTCCTTTTTGCATATGTGTATATGTGTGTTGGTACTGAGGCTTGAACTCAGGGCCTAGGCACTGTCTCTTAGTTTTTTTGCTCAAAGCTGGCACTCTGCCACTTGAGCCACAGTTCCAGTTCCAGCTTTCTGCTGGTCAATTAGAGATATGTATCTAATGGACTTTGCCTGACCAGCTTTGAGCTACGATCCTCAGATCTCAGTCTCCCAAATAGAATAACTAGGATTACAGGCATAAGCCGATGGTGTCCTTATCTGCATAGTTCCTTAAAAAGAACTATCCAGTGTCCTTGTTCAAGTGGCAGTACCACAGGGCTGGCTGTAAACAACATGACTGCCTGTGTTTTCATACTTGCTTCTGCATGCAGCTTTGAGATCTATTCATTCAACCAAGGACCAGTGAGTATCAAACAAACGAGCAAACAAACAAAAAATAAAAACCCTTTGCATATGTGTAATTTTCCTTGGCCTGTACTACTCTTCTTTTCAAAAACAAGTCCACCAAGAACAATTGTGCAGACTGACCAGAGCCCAAATATAAACAACAGCCTAGCGTCAAACAGCTGAGAACAATACATAATCTTAATGGCACGATCAATCACAACTCTTTGCCATGAGGTTCTGACTTCAAGCACTGAGTGCTTTACTTCCATGAAAGTTACATAGGAGAAATTTCCTTTGGAGTTATCACTCATAGTACTGCACTGGGCAGGCTGTGAGAGATGAGCCTGCAGTAGGCAGTTCTCATTTGTCCTGGAAAAGCAGCTGTGATGTGAAGGACTGGCAGGTCTAGCTTGGAAACAGACTAACTGTGAGATATTAACACACATCCCAGAATTTCTCTGAATCTTAGTTTCTTCATCAGGAAATTAGGAACAATAATATCCATCCTATAGAGTGGTTCTGAAGGATATAATGGCTGTAGTCTTAAAAGCCTATGTGTACAAGGTACAATGCATACATCTCTCATCACCTACAGGTCCCTGTGACCAGTTGAGATCAGACTGCTAGTTCTTTTCTCTCTCTAATCGTTCCTAGACAACAGAGGGTCTTATTAAGCTCTCCTCATGTGTGCTACCTTTGAAGGTAAAGATGTGTTATACCTGCCACATCAGTAGGAAACAAAAGCCTAAGGAGAGCCACAGTAGTCAACATGGGAGAATTTCTTTCTCTCATTAAAGACATCCTTCAGTTTGAAAGTCACCAAAGATGTAAGTTTCTTTGTGCTGCTTGGATCCATATTGTAAGTGGCTCTACAGAGTTACCTCATTGTACGTGCTGGATTGCTGGAGCTCTAACCATCATTTCTGTGTTCCAGACCCAAGAGGGAAGGAAGAGGAAGTAAAGGAAGTAAGGGAGATAGGAAGGGCTGGCAGGCAAAAGAGGAACTTATTCTCTACTGCTACACACTTTTCTCAGAAGTCACACATATTTCCAACTGTTTCGTAAATACTTGGCCTACAGCCACACCCAAGGAGGCTAGAAAATAGATGCCAGTGAACTACAGCTCCAGATCAACTTTAATATAGCAAGGGGGAGGAACTGAATATGGCTAGCAATGGCAGACTCAGGCACAATGAAATGACAGCATCTTAATAATCAAGTTGCCTTAGTTCTAACCCCAATGGGATGATGAGTTGGACCACTGACAAAAGACCAACTCACCTCTCTGCTCAGATTTTAAAAGGCCTAGAATTCTCCCATAGTGTCATTCCATGGCTGTCACCATCTCAGTGTTCTAAGTCCTTCCTTCCAGTCATGGCATACAGTCTTATGCTATAACACAAAGTATTTTGCAGGATTAGTTTCTTGCTTGGTGATTCTAAAACATATTCTTTTCCTCTAATTTTATCATATCTCAGGCTTCTTCTCAATCTAAATTTTACTTTCTCACTCTTGATTTTATCTGCTATAATTTAGGGAAAAAGATCCTAACCTGAGGTCCAAGTTGTAAGACAAAAATTTCCTAGAATTGTACTCAAAATCAAGTTCATATTGTCATTTTTTACCTAGAGACAGATTGCACAGCCTTCCTAGGATTCCCAAAGAGATCTGTGGCTCCAATGAACTCCAGACCTTGCTCTTCAAGACTTTCTATGAGATTAGGAATACCTGCACCCCTGATAATAAACATGGCCCAAAAAGGGAAGGCAGTGACAAGAGAAGTATCTGGAATAAGAAACCCCATGGGAGCTCACATTCAAGGCCTCTTTGTAGTCAGCCATGAACCATTCTCCCAGCTTCCAGGAGAGGAAGGATGTAAGCAGCACATTCACAAGTCAGGATAAGCTTATCATTAGCTGTGGAATATTTGGCCATTCACAAACCATCAAACAGGATATAGCTGTGGTCAAGAACCAGATGCCTGTACCATCCCAGTAAGACTCCTCCTCAAGGTTAGACAGGGTGTACCATAATATCTTTGTTTCCTCCGTACATAGGATATCATGTGGCAAAGAGCAGTCACTCAATAATATTGAACAGACTGAAAGAAAGCTTTAGGACTCAAGTACCTGGTATAAAGAGCCTGAAATAGATGAGATCAGATAGGAAGTGACTGAACTCTCTAAACTCTTCCTGCAGATATTCAGAGTAATGTTCCTGGCTTTTAGGAAGACAAATTCATGCAAATGTATGACCTGAACTGATTCAAACCGGGAAGCACAGAGTTGAGCTAACTCCCTGGTCTTCAGTACCATGTCTTCTCCCTTCCCCATGTGGTTCCTGCCTTCAGTCTAACTTAACTTGCATTCAGTCCTTGATATGGTTCTGATTTTACAGTGTGTGATTCCATTGTTCCTTGCCTTGCCCCCAGAGCTTTCTTATTTGGTGTTGTGAGACCCTACTGACACTGATACCTCTTCACCGTGCAAACAATTTTGGCCACTCTGATATCTCCGAAGATGTATAGAAAAGCATTGATAATACCTTTGTCCAAGAATGGGTACATGCAAACCGTGAGTTTACCTCTTGGCACACTCATCAGCACAGGCTAAACACAGGAATCCTTCTCTTCTTCTTCCTTTATCAGGCCATCAGACATGAGGGAGTGTTGGTTGCTACGGTGATGGGGCTCAGAGCAGAACCAAAGCATGATTGTGACCTCCAGAGGTGATGGTAACTGAATACATGGTTTCCCAAGGTCTTCCTTCTTAATTTCTAGGGCACTCCCAATGAGAATGGACATATTCTTTTTTGGAAACAAAATTCCTCTACCAACAGGCAATATCCTGAGGGTCCTTTAGGATCTCTTTTGTCTTCTTCTACTGTCATGTGATTTTTTTTTTCCCTCCATGATTAAAATGTAGTAGTTTTACCTGTGTCTTATGTATAGCAATAGATATCTCATCCTTGCAAATATCTTTTCTAAATCATTAAATAAGCAAGAATTTCCATTAGTCCTCAGCATTTGGTATTTAACCCAAACACCCTAACCTATGGTAATGCCTCCTCTTGTCCCTTGGCTTAGGCAGAGTAGGCATCTCTCTTTGGCAAGGACAGTCAGCTCATCCCACAGACTCGAATGCTTTATACGTTCAAACCAAAATAAAAAGGACAAAGAGCCTCAGAGCTCAGTTAATATCCTTTTGTCTTCTGGCTTTATTATCTGTGGATGAACTTTCCTTGATTTCTTTTCGGCCCTATGTTTGGTCCCCTGATCTTGTTTCAATTACTTTTCTACCAGATTGTGTCTTTGCTTTTGAATTTCTTTGAAAGAGCATGCCTTGCTTTTATATCAGTTTGTTAGGAGGCACATAAAACCTTTCAGGAGATCTGATGCCTACATTTATATGCTAGTTAACTATCTTGTTATTTGTAATTAGAAAATCATCAGTTTGTAATTATTCTTGACAGATATTGACTTCAGAGAATTATAGATATGTAGCTGTCCTTGGAGATTATTGGTAGAAGAACTGTGTAGATAATTTTATTGAGATCTTTAAAACATGGGTCAAAACATGCCATTTTGTTCACAGTCTTCAGATGTTTACATTGCTCTTAAACGACAGATCTGGGCTCTTGTTTTTGCAGATTCTGGAAGTGTGAACCAGGTGTAATTATTTTTTTAATGTTTCAAACCAGTTTTAAGTAGAACTTAAAATACTTAATCCTAAAGATAAAAGGGAACCAGATAAGTTCTTGTCTTCCCTCTATTCCTCAATACACCTAGGACATCAGAAGCTGTTAAAATATCCCAGAGAAAACATTTCCACCATCTCTCTCAGTAACCTAGGCTGGTTTCTGACAATGCATTTCCAGGAAGTAAGTTCTGTTAGTGCTTTTTTTTTTTTTTTTTTTTGTCAGTCATGGGGCTTGAATTCAGGACCTGGGAGCTGTCCCAGAGCTTTTTTTGTTTAAGGCTAACACTCTACCCTTCAAGCCATAGCACCAGTTCCAGTTTTCTGGTGGTGATTGGAGATAAGAGTCCTGCCTGAGCTGAGTTTGAACCTTGATCCTTAGATCTCAGCCATCCTGAGTAGCTAGGATTACAGACATGAGCCACCAGTGCCAGGCTATGTATTAACATTATGTATGTGTGTGTGTGTGTGTGTGTGTGTATGTATGTGTGTGTGAGAGAGAGAGAGACAGACAGAGAGACAGAGGCAGAGAGAAAATGCACACACACAGACTAGAGCTTGAACTCAGGGCCTTCATACTCTCACTCATCTTTTTCATTCAAAGTTGGCAGTCTACCTACCACTGAGCCACACCTCCACTTACAGCTTTTTGTTGGTTAATCAGAGATAAGAATCTCTTGGATTTGTTTGCCCGGTTTGCCTTTGAACTGGGATCCTCATATCTCTGAGTAGCTAGGGTTACTGTGGTGAGCCACCTGCACCTGACTTGACATCTTTTTTTTTTTTAAGAAGCCACATAGAAGTACTAAACCAATTGTCTGTGTTCCCCCAAATGAGTGGTTTCTTTCCATCCTTCTTCTTAACACCTTCGCAGGTTTACATATGAAATTGCACCAGTGTTTGTCCTCATGGAGCAAATAACACTTAAGAAGATGAGAGAGATAATTGGATGGTCAAATAAAGATGGTGATGGGATATTTTCTCCTGGTAGGTTTCTCATCTCTTCCTCTGATTATTTTCAGGGTTTTCAGTATGGGCCCTTGGGATTTGGGGAAATATTAAAGCATGCATTTGTAGAATAATGACCTTAAAATGTTTTAGAAATTGCTTTCATTATTAATGCATATGAGTTATACAAATTAATGGTTTTTATTATATCATGTCATGCCTTGATGGTGTTAATTTTTTTTTCACCTTCTTCCTTCCTATCTGTATAAAGAAGAAGGCTAGGGAGAATGCTATATCTTTATGAACTAATAATGGTGCTACCTAAATCTATACAAACTAAGCCTGTGTCTGAATCATGTTAAATGACAATATTCTGCCAACAACAGTTTGCTATGCTGGAGGAGGGGATCCATTAATTGAGTACCAATTAACTAACTTCAGTAAGCCTCTAATTTACAGTAGATACAAAGACAGGTATTCCTGGAGGTGGGGATATATTAGAAACAGTGGGCTAGTGAACTGAAGAAAAGAAATAAAAAATACAACTTTCTAGGCATTTCAAGGAGACCACATATTTGCTTATTTCTTTCTCAGGTAATTAATATAAATGACTAGTTTGACTTGGCTGGATCTGCCTGGATAGTTGCCACTGTCTGTTCTTCTGTATCTTTATTTAGCTCAACATAAATTTGTTTTTGTTTAAATAACATATTCAATCAGTTACTTCTAACACATTCAGGCTATCTTTGAAGAGAGTACCCAAGCACCATCACTGTTTCTTTTCATAAGTTCTGTTACTCTCATTCTCTTTCTGAACCCAGGGAACAGATTAACTTCGTTCAGTAAATAGATAGAGCAGAAAGTAGATGCTTGAAGGCTGTGTGTGAAAGTGTGAATCACCCTAGCCAAATTGCCTACATAGTATGACTACCTATATTCTCAGGGCAGAAGGTCCAGAGGGAAGCCCTGGCATTAGGACACCAACAAAATCTATCAGGATATTGTCCTTGCCCTTTGTGACCTCCTTTTTCTCCTGAGACACCAGCTTGCATTGTGTTAGAAACAATAGCTCAATGCCTCCCACCGTGTCTGCTTGCTGGCAGGGGGAGCCATATCCAACATGTACAGCATCATGGCTGCTCGCTACAAGTACTTCCCGGAAGTTAAGACAAAGGGCATGGCAGCTGTGCCCAAACTGGTTCTCTTCACCTCAGAACACGTGAGTTGGGGGCTCTTGCGCATGGAATGTGGTGTTTTCCAAGGGACTCTGCTAATTTTTAACCTCAAGTCCCTGTTTGTTGCAGAGTCACTATTCCATAAAGAAAGCTGGGGCTGCGCTTGGCTTTGGAACCGACAATGTGATTTTGATAAAGTGCAATGAAAGGTAGGCAGGGGAGAGTGAATATTAGGTTCTTGATGTATTAAATGTGTTCATCTGTTAAATTTGTTTTATTGTGCTTAAGGACTGGCTCAGTACAGTGTGCCAAGCTGCTAATGGTCTGTTGAAAATATCCGATTAAATTACTTTTTGCTGCTACTGCTGCTGCTGAAGGGTTTTTGTGAGCAATCTTGTTGATTCTTCATTTTAATTTCTCTCCTTTTACAATAATTACAGGGGGAAGATAATTCCAGCTGATTTAGAGGCAAAAATTCTTGAAGCCAAGCAAAAGGTACATACAATAGGATGCTTCAACACACCAGTGAATAATTTTCTTATATATTTTGTTTCTGACCTAGACAATAAAAAATTTAATAAAGAGATAATTGTACTTCTAAAGTTTTATTTTTAGGAACACTCTAAAATTTATTTCTAGCTGATGAAATTATTTGGCCTTACAGCTGGTGTACAAAATAACCATTTTGTGTTGTGAAAAGTGGAAAATTTTAGTCACTAAATCATTTTTAGGCCAAATGCTCTCCAATAAATCAACTACTCTGGGCATCCTGGAGATAGGGCCCAACTGAAGTTTTTACTTGTTTATTGTTAGGTATAATCTCATCTTAATAAATGCTACTTTAGGTTTGGATTTTGTTTAATAAATGCTTGCATATCCAACAGATGGGCAATAGTACTAGGCAAAGCCAGCCTCCACAAACTCTATTAAAAAAATTTCATATCACATGTTACTTCAATTACCTTCTTGAGCCTTCAGGTCTGATTGCACAAGAGGTGAAAGAAGTGTTGCTAGGATTGAGCAAGGAGGGGAGATGGTACTGAGCTTGAAAAACACCTATGACCTCAATCTGTCTTTGCTTTCCTATTTCACTTCCTTGTTTACTTTCTGTTCATGTCATCCTTTCATCCTGTGTGTGTTTTTTCTTGAATTCAGGGCCTTTCACTCTCACTTTGCTTTTTTTATTCAAAGCTGGCACTCTACCACTTGACCCACAGCTCCACTTTCATGTGTTTTATCTTTTACAGTATATAGAATCAATTTTGCTGTTTAATTGTTTGAACAGTATGCTTTAGAGCAATGTGACACCTGAAAAGAACAATACTCAGAAGTGAAGTGAAATTTGGAGAGGTACCTGCCCATCACTCTAAATACTTATTATTACTCTTTCCTTAAGTATTTTGTGACTTTCACAAAATGTATTCTGTCATATATTGTGTACTTTGTATATTTAACTTCATCTCCATGATTAAGACTGACTTCATCTGCTCTGTTCCCTGAATCCCTAGGATTTACCACAAGACCTGTACCTAAAAATCACTTCAGAGCTTTTTGTTGGTAAATAAACAAGCCTAGCTCTGGTGGCTCACACCTGTAATCCTAGCTACTCAGGAGGCTGAGATCTGAGGATCATAGTTCAAAGCCGGCCCTGGAAGTAAAATCTATTAGACTTTTATCACTAAACGGCTGGAAGTGGAGCTGCGATTCAGTGGTAGAGCACTAGCCTTGAGCAAAGAAATTCAGAGACTGCACCCAAGCCCCAGGATCAGCACACACACACACACACTCACACACACAAATGAACAAATGAACCAACCAAGAATACTTCTAGTCATTGTATCTGATTCCACACCAGCTTTGTTGATCACCACTATAAATAAATACTCTAACAATTCTTCTATTCTTCTACTTCATGTGGAAATAGGGAAATGAGAAAGTATAAAAGTACTGATCATCTATCTCTCCACCTTAGGGATATGTTCCTTTATATGTCAATGCAACAGCCGGCACCACTGTTTATGGAGCCTTTGATCCAATTCAGGAGATTGCCGATATCTGTGAGAAATACAACCTTTGGCTGCATGTTGATGTAAGTGCTGTAAATCACAGAGTGGCTCAGTCTATCCAGGGGGTGGAAACCATGTGCTCTATGATTTGCCTCAAGCTGTTCCCAATACCCTAGTCTGCACCCCTCTGAACACCACATTAATTCTAGCCAGCCAATCATGACCATTACCTACTTACCATACCTGGCCACCCTGCAGGACACATCTAGCTCCTTATTGGCCTGTGGCTGTCTTCTGTGGCTCCTCCTAGAATGTGATTGGCACTGCCTGCCAGGTCACTTTGTTGGAATGAATGACTATAGAAGAAAATATGGCTAGTGTCAAAGGGAGAAAGGATATAAGGTATAGAAAGTGGCTGGGAGTGTGAACTCTAGGCTAGCTAGCTGCATCTGCCTACCTGTAACACTGTTCTAAAAAGATTATACACATGCTACCTGCAGGAAAATAACAAAGTGTGTGTAAGGAATTATCAACTAAGATTTGGCCCCAATTTTCCCTGCAACAAAAAAGATGCATTTTCATATGTGTGACTAAGTAGGTTTTTTTCCTTTCTCTTATGATGAAAATCTATCTTGCTATCAAGCAATGACCTGCAAAGGCTGTTGTGTCACATGACACATCCAGCTATCTAGTAAACATGTATCATGGTCTCCACAAAGCCTTGCTGATGCTGGCTTAATGGGGCTTCCAAGTTTCTCAGGAGGGATTAGAATTCTACTCTGAAAAGAAGGAGGTGGCGCTGCCCAGGCCTTTGAGTAGCTGCTGGGGGTGCTCTGAAGAGCTCAGAGGTCTCTGGTTCCTATGCTTTTTCAGACTTATGCCACAAGCGCCAGAGGCTCAGTCCTAGCCTACCTGCATTACCCAGATACCATATAGGAGGGAAGTTTGATACAAAATGGAAAATGAAGCTAGGCAAGGTGGCTCATTCTTGTCATCTTAACTCCTTGGGAGGCTGAGCTGAGGAAGATTCAAATTCAAGACTGGCCTAAGCAAAATCAGTGAGACCCTTGTCTCACAGGTAGAGCATATCTGTTATTTCTCCTGCTAGGGAGGTGAAGGCAGAATTGGGATCTGAGGCTACCATGCATAAGCACCAGACCCTACATGAAAAGCAAACTCAAAAACCTGGGGTGTGGTTTCATTGGTAACAGTGCTTTATTAAGTTCATGTCCCAGTAATACCAACAAATAAATAAGCTGCTAGAGTGTTGGGGTGGGAGACTCTGTGAGAGAAGCTTGTTTTTCACCTCTGCCATTCTCCTTGGCATCTTACTAAAGTTGGGGTAACTACTTCCTGTCCCTCCCCTTTCTCTGTCCTCACAGGCTGCCTGGGGTGGTGGACTGCTCATGTCCAGGAAGCACCGCCATAAACTGAGCGGCATAGAAAGGTACGGGCAAGCCTTCCATTCAGAACATCCACAGGGCACCGGATCGCTCTCTGCTCCTCCCCTCCCAGCTCTGCCCACAGCTTCCACCTCCCCCCCTGCCCTGATTCCCAGCATCTTCATTCAGACCCACAACTCTTCACTTGAATTCAGCAGCCATGTATTGAGCACTTATTGAACGATTGATTTTCCCAATCAAATGTGTCCCCCGTAAGTTCTCAAGTAGAAAGATAAGTCAACAATCAAAAAGCATCATGCCATTCTCTCTATAATAGGTGAGATTTCACATGCCCAGATAGGAGAGAACAAGACTAACTGGGAAGGGGTGTGTGTGAGCTGAGTCAGAGTTTGCCTGGCGAACAGAAAGGCCCCTGGGCCCTTTTGCGCTTTTTCTTTGCTAAGCTAGCTGGGAAGGTGGGAAGATGGCAACACGCTTGCTCAGCTCCCTGTCTTATTACAGAGACCATGACAAAGGCAGATGGGAAATAAGGACATATTCAGGCAGTGGAGATGGCAGATGCAAAGACCCTGAGGCAGGACTGTTCTCGGCATTGTGAGGACCATGTGAGAGGCTATGGGGCTGGAGCGAGGTGGAAGGGGTCATGAGCGCAGGCACATTGGGGAGATGAGTGAGAAGAACGCATCAGTAACTCTCTGGCTTCTGCGGCTGTTCCCGTCTCAGTTTTGAAAGACCTGGCTGAGACTGAATCTTTAAAGTATAACTACATGGCCCTATAATTTAGAGATCAGGATATTAAAGGTAGATATGTTGACCCAACTGTACTTAAGATTCCTCATGCAGGAAGTGGCGCTGTAGCTCAAGTTGTAGAGTGTTTGCCTTCAGCTGAAAAGCTGAAGGACAGCGCCCAAGCCCAGAGTTCAAGGCCCAAGACCGACAAAAAAAAAAATAAGATTCCTCATGCAATTTTCCTTTTCCATGCTTGAATCTAGGAAAACTTAAAACTTAGGGCACTAGACTTTTTCTTTTAAAAAAAATTTGAAAACCCATGTGTGCAAAAGGAAACCAAATCTATGTCATGTCCCATGACATTCCACGTAGGGTCACTGACTTCATTCATACCTTCATGGTATTTAGAAACCCATGTAAGATAGTTTATGAGATCTAGATATAATTTCTAATGACTTTGTACATGGTAGCCATGACAAAATTGGTTAAAACACTCAGCTATCTTCCAATTATGGCTTGACAAGAGTTTTTTTTTTCGTGACCTCAACATGTAGGGAACTTTCCTGGAGGCATCTCACAGTCTCATGAGGATTTTTTCCATATGTGCTTGCCAGAAACAATCTTCAAACCTTCCTGTCTCTTCTTCTTGACACTCAGGACACATAGGCAACTAAACTATTTCCCCCTTCAAGGACCTAAGCCAGATGAAGAAGTAAAAAAAAAAATCACAATCAGGGCCTGGTTCTGGGAGAGAAGGCATAGTATAACTCCAAGGCAGTAGTCTTGTTGGGAAAACGTTCTGCACAGGAATTAGAAGTCTGAGCCAGCTGTGGGAACAGGTCATCAGGAAGGAGTCTGTAATCCACTGAAGCAAGGTCTCCACGTTTTCATCATCATTCATTACTTTCAGTTGTGTCTGAAATGGCCTAGCCAGTGTGTTTCTTAACCATCTAATTGTGTCTGACACAGTGATATGGTTGCTAGGAGACTATTCTTGCTAAGCTAGCATTACAGCCCAAACTGGCAAAATCATGTTCATTTAGCATTTAAGCAATGCTGTTAGGAAATCGGCCTAGAATAGCCCAGTGGATCCTTGCCCTTAAATATCCCATAAGTAGGTAGGTCTGCATCACCCCATCTTACAAATAAGAACAGAAAGGTGGAGATAAGCCAAAGTCTTCAACCAAGAGGGAGACAACCTAGTGCTTTTGAGCACTGGATCTACAGTTAGAATCTTGATTCCAATACTTCCTAGATATGTGACTTCAAGTAATATAGTTAACCTACCTGTGCTTCTCTTTCTCGATCTAAACTAGAAAAAATAGGAATACCTACATTGTAGTGCTGGTTTGGAAAATATATACTTGTGTATATATATATATATATATATATATATGTATGTGTATATGTATATGTATATGTATGTATGAATATATAATATATTCCAGACACTATTATAAGCATTGTATATCTATTAATTTGTTTTATTTTTAATTTTGTACTGGTGAGGAAGACCCCCCATTTTACAGATGGTAATACTGAAGCACAAGGAGTTATATAATGTTTCCTAGCTAGCAAATGTCAGAGCTGGGATTCAGACTTGAACAATCTGGCTTCAAAGCCTGAGTTCTTACCTGTATTACCATATTGATTTCTATCTAAGGTTTTAGGTATAAATGGGGCCCCTTAACAAGATCTTCATCAATGGTGGTTATTATGGATGTCAGTTCCAAAGAAGACGCATCTGCAATATAAAGCATGGAGACTGCCTTCAGACAGATACATGTCTTCTTGTCTTCTTGACAATGTAGAAGAATAGGCATGGAAAACAGTGATGGGGAAGAGTGGTGTTTTCTACAGCAGACAATTGTCTCCCTCGCTCCTGTACTTTCTCCTCATGATCATGTGCTTCTTTCAGGGCCAACTCAGTCACCTGGAACCCTCACAAGATGATGGGGGTTCTGCTACAGTGCTCTGCCATTCTGGTCAAGGAAAAGGTCTGTAATCCTTCCACGGATACATCCATCCTTTCGAAGGCACCAAAAGGCAAAAGTCTGGCATCTTTCCATAGTACTTTCTGTGAAGTTGTAGTCCCCGCTGTGAGACTGCAGGCTGCCCTTGCTGCTCTCCTCGCTGGCCTAGATTCCCTATTGGCTCTCACTGATGGCTGCCCTTCCTCCTTGTTCAGTACTCAGGGCCCTTTTGGTGACTGAAGTTTTCAGGGAAGTCTTGAATTAAGTATTGCTTCACGCTTGCACCAACATGAGGGCCATGGGGATGAGCCAGCCAATCAGTTATGTCCTCAGTGAGAGCAAACAGTGCTCACTGGACAACCTGTGAGTTTAGTATTAATTTGTGGTCCCAAGAGCTGAAATGAATTAGACAGACCAAGAATTGCAATGACTAATTTAAGGCAACAAGGAAGGTTGACTGAAGAGCTTCTATAAACAAGTCAGTGCCATAGGCCCTTCTTCATACACCTGACAATAGGACCCCAGCCTCAAGGGATCTATGTAGCTTCATAAACCTGCTGCAGAATGGCCTGGGTGCTTTCCTCCACTCCCACAGAGTCACTGTGAACTTCACAGGAGGGCTTCCAAAGATTGGAAGACCTTTAGGGGTAGGGGAAGCAAAGCTTGAGGGAAGAAAGTTTTTCATAGTGCAAAATATTCCCAACTTTCCCACCCATTGCGGAAGCTTATATCCCTAACCCCAGCCAACTGAATTTTCAGTCTTTGAAACAATCCACAACAAAACCCACATGCATTTCCAAATGCTCCCTAGAAGCCAGGGAGGCTGTTGTTGGGGGCATCTGAGACAAGAGATCATTTTCAAATGGGAGTGGCAGAAGGCAAAGGGGCAAGAGTTTTTCTGAGAGTGGTTTCAAAAAAGGACACCAGAACAAGGCTTCTTCAAGACCTCATGTGTGGCACACATCTCAATTTCCACTACAGGGGATCCTGCAAGGATGCAACCAGATGTGTGCAGGGTACCTCTTCCAGCCAGACAAGCAGTACGACGTCTCCTATGATACTGGGGACAAGGCAATTCAGTGTGGCCGCCATGTGGACATCTTCAAGTTCTGGCTCATGTGGAAAGCAAAGGTATGAGGGGGAAATGTGGAGACAGAGCAGAAAAGCAATTGCACTCACTAGAGCTGAACAAGAGCCAATGATGTATCACAGGGAATGTGCTGTGTGTGTATAATCAGTATCTAGATAATTGGTTTAACTATTTTCTTTGTGAATTGAATCACTTTATCCCTTATGTTAAAGGCTTTCTTGTCCAATTCAGTCTCCTCAGTGTGAATTATCATGAAATTGTCTTACAACTTTCTCTTACAACAACTAGAAACGATACCCAGTTAAGAATTTCTACAACACTCCTTAGGGATGCTAAAATTATTTGGTGCAGCCATAGAGAAAGAGATAAAAGATAAACCTATGGTGTTACTCTTGAGTAGAGTTCTTTTATGAAGTTTCTCATCATGGAATATAGATGACAGTTTTAAGTTTTATTTAAATAATGCTTTTTGTTCTGGAATATGCACACCTTTTTTATTTTATTCTTTTGTTGTGGGCAATGCAGTTGGAAATTGCCTACTCAATTCCCAGAAATGCTCCTGAATCACTCTGTACTGACAGTCATCCCCCTCCAGTTACCTTTCTATAAGGAAAAAGCTAGCTATGGGGAATTTCCTTAAAACATGAGTAAGGAGATTACCATTGTATTGTTTCAAAAATATTTTTTCTGCAAGCAGGTAAAGCAATTTTGATTTTATAGCTTTTCAACACAACATATTATTTACCTACTGTAAATTAATTTTTGTAATCTCTATGTTTAAAACTGGAACAGCCTAATAGCTAAACAATAGATTTCCCAGCAAAATACTTCGCTATTTCTTCTGGAAGAAAACCTTAGGAGATTATTAATATTTTTCCTCTCTACGTCATTTTGTCTTAATCTAGAATCTGAATTTGATTTCTACCACATATTAGCACAGGTATTTCAATGTATGTGTCATACATTGTAAGAAGAGAAATAATTCTCTCATAATGATCATATGGCCTCTTAAGAATAAATGTTTTGATTTTGCCTAACTATAACCTGTTGTACTATCTTCAGGAAGTTTGGCTACAATGTACTAGTTGCTGATGTAGATCCTGATGTAGGTTTCTTTCTCAATGGAGGCCCACCCTTTGCCAGCATTGGACTCTACCCAAGCCCATTAGCCATACATGAGCCAGGCTTATCCATCTGTTCTCCTTGTTAATTCCAACCCGCTCACCACCCCTCATGATGCTGTTGGTAATCAGCCATGCTGTCAGTAGTTGGAGCTATTGCATTATCAGTACACGTTCTTAGACCAGTGGCTTCCCCATATGCTTTCTTGCCTGGGTGTGTGAAGGAGCCTGCCTGCCAGGATATGAGACATATTTGTCCAAGACTTTGTGATGAAAATGGAAAGCTGTCTTCTAAAGTAGTGTCTTTCAAATATCTCTGATGAAGAATCCATGTTCTGTTCCTTCAACCTGTCATGGACCAGTAAAGATGAATTGCTACAAAAATGAACTATAAAATTTACAAGGTATAAAGCACTTTTTAAAATTAACATCAAGAGACACAAATTTACTGCACTAATTGCTTTAAGAGAGAATGCTTAAGATAGATTTCTTTACTTCATCATCCCAGATGGTTATAGATTATGAACTAGTGTCAGTCTGAATATGACACTTTGAATAGTATTGTCCTAAAGCAACCTAGAAATCATTTCTAGTGCAGGCTGTGAATAACTAGCAGAAAGTCAAAAAGTTCTACTGAGAAGACTGGAGTAGCCTTGAAAGACAAGAACAGGCAAACTTCTTGCCATTGTATGTAGAAATACAAAGAAGCTATATACTTGTAGATTGTTCTTCTCAGTTATCTCCAAAATAGACCAAAACAGCATAACCTTTCCAAAAGACCATCACAGAGAAAGGCAACTCGGTACCAACAAACACAACTTTTCTCTTTAAAACAGGGCACTGTGGGATTTGAAAATCAGATCAACAAATGTCTAGAGCTGGCTGAATATCTCTATGCCAAGATTAAAAACAGAGAAGAATTTGAGATGGTTTTCGATGGTGAGGTAAGTGGTCATTACGGGCTGGATATACAGCACCTCTAGAAAAACTATTGAGGAAAGCTCCTGAAGCCACAGTTCCCACATTGCCACACGCTGCCTCTGGTCTTTCCTACTTAATTCCCTCCAAGTTCATGAACTTTTCTCTGACATCACTGGAGCTACTTCTCCCCACTCACCACTTTTCATACCACATAGCCTCAGCTGTCCCTTTTCAGATTAGTCTTTCCATGAGGTCTGATTCCTCATCGTTCCTGGCTTTGTCTTATATTGGACTCTATAATAAAGTATTTCTTACAACCAAGAAGCTTAGAGCAAGACTGGCTAGAAAACAAGGGTCTACTTTATGTAGATTCATTATGAGGAGGAGAGCCAGATAAAATTCTCTCTGTGCTGAGTCCACATCCTCATTACACACAATAAAGTGCCATACCAAAGTCTCTGTGTGTCCACATGCCAGGGGCTGGGCATATATTATTGGTCAAAGCACTCACTCTCTTTGCTCTAATGGAATTCACAGTTGAATAAAGATAGAATCAGAACCAGTGCCAATAATAGAAAATCCACTCATAACCAAGTGTAACATATAACCCCATCAACATTCAGCATCTGTCTATTTATCAGGCAACATCAACTATTAGGAAAAATACCTGAGAGTCACCAAATGAGCACAGAAGAGCCCTAAACTGTCAAAAATCAGTGTTCTAGTGCTTATATCTCCCACCAATGGAGCTTTACATAATTCTTTATGTTATAGTTACATCTAGACAAAGATTTTAAGCACATACACAAGGTCTCAAACCAGCTAGAGGCAGCCATGGCATCAGCAAATAGATGATACAGTTTAAAAACTGTATTATCAGTATCAAAAATAAATAAACTATCATCAGAGTATTGTGTAAATGTGTGCTTTATAAGTGAAAAATGGACAGTGCCTTTTTAAAAACTACACAAATGTATTTAGACATTTCAGAGTTTGAAGGTGGTAACTTCAGTTCTCTAGAAACCTGATTGTGGGGAATGGCATTTTTCTGCTTCATATATTTACACTTAACATTGATGACATTGTCTTTGAGTTAGACATCAGGCCTTTTTCTGTTCTGAGAAACAGTCCAGAGGTACCTATGGGTTTGGCAACCATTTTCTCTCAAGTTCTCATAGTTTTATTGTTTGTCTGTTTGTTTAAAAAATCTCTGCAGCCTGAACACACAAACGTCTGTTTCTGGTACATTCCACAAAGCCTCAGAGGTGTTCCAGATAGCCCTGAGCGACGGGAAAAACTACACAGGGTATGGACTCATCTAATTCTCTTCATTTTCTCTGGCTAGTCAGGACACCTACATTCCAATAAGCCATTCTAAAGGGAGAAAATGTAAAAAGTCTTATGGTAGGCGTCTAGTAATGGGGTACTAATTAGCCATCTTGTTAATAAACTGAGATCTGTATTACAGTTCAGATACAACAAACACCTCTAAGGATGCATCTCCAGCTTAGGCTGGTCTTCATTGCAGAGGCTCTGCAATGCAACCAAATGATTTATACACTTCTAGGAAGGGTTGGGTTTGTTGCTTTTTTAAAAATATTCTTAGGGCTGGGAAGGTGGCTCAGTGGTAGAGCGCTTGCCTTGCAAGGCTTGAGGCCCTGGGTTCGATTCCTTAGCACCACATAAACAAAAAAGAAAAAAGCTGGAAGTGGCGCTGTAACTCAAGTGGTAGAGCGCTATCCTTGAGCTGAAGAGCTGAGGGACAGCGCCCAGGCCCAGGGTTCAGGCCCCACAACCGGACCCAAAAAAATTCTTAAATTTAGACTGTGTCTTTACTAAGTCTAAGTCTACTCTAATAGTGTTTCATTTTAGCTTTTCATTTCCTATATCTAGTATGTGCATAATCAGAATAATTGATGTTATATTTAATTTAGGTTCTATCTCATTGATCCAACCATTGGACAAATATTGTTAAACACTGTCTATTTGGCAGACAGTCTCCTAAATGCTGTTGTATTGCTTAGGGGTTTTTTGCCTTTGTTTTTTTTCCCCTTTGGGATTTTATTGTCATTGTTCTATGACTTACTTTGAAAGTTCAGCCACCTAGTACTTTCTGAGGAAATTTATGAGAGGGTAGACTTAAATAGTCACTAGATACTATCCATAATGACTCCTGGATCTCAAATATTTCTTTGCTTTATGTCAGTACAAACACAGGTAGTAAAACCCAGATTGGGTTGAAGTGTTTAAACACACAGGGTACTCATGCCAGTGTTGGTTTTTGTTTTGTGTTCCCATCACAAGGTGGCTCCAAAGATCAAAGCTCTGATGATGGAATCAGGCACCACTATGGTTGGCTACCAGCCTCAGGGAGACAAGGCCAACTTCTTTCGGATGGTCATCTCAAACCCAGCCGCCACTCAGTCTGACATCGACTTCCTCATTGAAGAGATAGAAAGACTGGGCCAGGATCTGTAATCACCCTTTCCAGAACAGGAGTTGAAGAGAATTTTCCTTTCTTCTGGCCCTCTAGAATAAACCTCTATCCCTTGTTAAAACACCTAGACCATTTCATTGGAGGAAAATATAGTATCTTGAAGAATATCCCTTACAACTTACTTAAGCTCGTTTGTTAGAATTAGTGGGAAATAATGTTTCTTTTTAATTGCACATTAGGGTCCCAGTATATATGTACAGTTATATATACCTCTCTCTCTGTCTCCATACATAGATGTATGTATAGTAGGTGTGGCTTGGTCCTAGATCACAGCATGTCTTGTGGCCCAGAGAAATAGCTTCACCTTCAGCAGTTACTGAGGGGCTAAATATGTCACAAGCCAGTTTGCCCATCAACCACAGGAAGAATGGCTTTCCAAACACTGTGTCCTAGGGACCAAGAGAAATGTGGTCAGTGAGGGCTGAAATCGCTGTCAGCATCTGATGTAATTCGAATGAGAAAAAGCACTACGAGATGACGAGAATCACGCCCTGCCTATTTGGGTCCTGTTAGGGGAGAATTGTAGCTGAGTCCTTGTTACAGGTGTACTATTGCCATGATTTTTAGAGATGTAATTTGTGGAGATTGTATATATTCCTGTTGTCTGATCTTGTGTGATGGTGGAGAGAAACACATATAATGATTTCAATGACTGTTTAATTGTAGATCAGTGAAATGTTTGCTTATTTATATTCAGAGATTTGCCATGTTTAAAGAGACATCTTGTATTTTCTTCTCATTTGTAATGTATCTTATTTATATACTAATGAAGTAAGTTCTGAATACTGTTTATGGTATTTCTGTGCAATTGTGAGCCAAAGAGAAAAGATTAACATTCGTGAGACTTGTATTTATATTAGAGTGCCCTTAAAAACAATTTAAGTATAAATGTACTATCTGTGAAAGAATTCATACTGTACATAAAATCATACATATGGAAATCCTATTACTCCAATAGCTTCTGCTCTTCTCTTACCCTGTCTGGCTATATATCTGGTGTCCTCAATGCTTTTCTAGTTAACTCTTCAACAATAACTAGATCTCCTGTAATTTTGTAGTAGTTCATGACCAATCTCTGTGACTCGCTTAGCTAAAACCTAAGGCAATGTTTCTGAAGACCTTCCCAACATTTCCAATAAATTAAACAGTCGCAAGACTGTTTTTGAAGAAATGAAATCCACACTGTGCATTTTAGAGTATGCAAGAAGAATATAAATAAATAAATAAATAAATAAATAAATAAATAAAATGTTCTCTATGGAGAATTTAAACAAAAATTTTGTCTAGTTTGTGTTTTGTATGTAGAGATTTCCAGTTATTCACCAGCTAGTCACCTTTCAGTAGTGGCTTTATATCCTCAACCCATTGTCATAGGTTTCTGAGCCTCTCATTTATGAAGTCCATATGATTGGATTTAAACAAAATTTATTTCTGCCCATTCAGTCATTCAACAAGTGCTTTCTAACTTTGAATCTATCACTGTTATACACACTGGGATTACAGTGCTGTGCATGGCACACAAAATTTTCTTCTAGAGCCAGGTGCCAGTGGCTCCTGTCTATAATCTTAGCTACTTAGGAGGCTAAGATCTGAAATCTTGGTTCAAATCCAGCCTTGACAGACAAATCTAAGAAACTTTTATTTCCAATTGACCAGCAAAAAGCCTGAACTAGATGCATAGCTCAGTGGTAGAGCAAGCAGGCATGAACAGAGAAGCCAAGCCCTGAATTCAAACCCCAGGCACACACAAACAACATCAAGAAAAATCCTTCTAGTGAGGCTCATAGGTTCTTTAACATCCAAATACCTGTAAGATCAAAGAATCCCAACTTCTTGCTAACTTCTCAATTAATTTCCTCAAATATATTTCAGTTCTGGATCATTAGGAAAGAGGGCCCAATTTTTATGATAGTCTATTAAGCTATAATCAATACTACTTCATTCATTTAGCCTATGAGGCTTTCTCTATTTAGCACATGTTGGGAATAGAGAAGAGTTATTCGTAATTAGTATAAGTGACTGCTCACAGAACTATTGTATTCAGCACACTGGACTCCATGAGGTGATCAGAAAACTTTTTTCTTCCTTCTCACACTGTTCCTTCGCATCTTTGCTGATTTCTCCCCACAATTTTTTTTATTTTTTTATTGTGAAAATACTGTACAGAGGGGTTACAATTACATGGGCAAGATAATGAGTACATTTCTTATCAAGCATTGTAGCCTCCTCCTTTGTTTCCCCTTCCCATCCCTTCCCATCCTCTCCCCGCCCCCCCCACCTAATCCTTCCCCCCCCCCCCCCCCGCCCCGCACCAAAGTTTTAAAGTTCCTTTTTGACATAACGACTTGTACATCTCATTGTTGCAATGGGTCCACCTGTATCCCTATTTAAACGATTTGTTTTTTCCCTTCCCCTCCACAAATTATACTGACATCAAATACAGTGAAAGCAGGGGTTATACTGTGGGGTAGGGACATACAAAGCAACAAAGAAATAATCTTATAAATGTATTAGAAACAATTGCATGAAAGAAAAAAAATTGAATATATATCTTAGGGTTCATTTCCCTAACATTGCCTTATCTGACCTTTTCTGCTTGACTCAGACGTATACTAGATATTGCAAATAAGGGAAACCATGTCTCCCCACAATTTTTAATTCAGGCCTCTCTTCTAGCTTTGCAAGGCTTCAGAATTTTGCACAGCATAGAATCCTGTCTCCCCTCAATCTGCCACTGCTTCAGGCTGAAAGCCCAGAGTGGCGGGAGACTGGTGCCAGGCTGAGTCTCCTTTTTCCTTACCTCTTCCAGCTATCCTCCTAGCAACTGTATTTGTTCACAGAGTCAAGCCAGGTAGGTGGCGAAGGTTAAAATAGAAAAAGCACAATTTTACATTGTTGTTAATTGGCATTTGGCATTAGGGCCCCTGAAATGTGCCATGATATTTTTGTGTGAATATAGTTTACATTTAATTTGGATAATACATAGATGTAGGTTTCTTAGATCATATGGTAGAAGTCTTTTTTGTGCCAGTCCTGGGGCTTGAACTCAGGGCCTGGGCACTGTCCCTGAGCTGCTTATGCTCAAAGCTAGCACTGAGTCCCAGTGGCAGGATGTCTGGCTTTTTCTGAGTACTTCATTAGAGATAGGAGTCTTACAGGTTTTCCTGCCCAGGCTGCCTTCAAACCACAGAGCTCAGATCTCAGCCTCCTGAGTAGGTAGGATTACAGGCTTGAGCCATATGCACCCAGCTAGTAGGAGTATTTTGTCTTTATAAGAAATTGCTAGCTAGGCATAGTGCTACATATATAATCCCAGCTACTCACAAGGCAGAGGCAAGAGAATCATGAGATTGAGGCCATCCTGGGCCAAGGTAGTGATGAGACTCTATCTTCAAGACAAAATAGAAACAAAAGGGTTTGGAGTAGCACATGAGGTAGAGAACTTGCCTAGCATGCCTGGGCTCAAGCCCCAGAACTACCAAAAAGAAAAAAGAAAAGAAAAGAAAAAAGGAAGGAAAGAAGAAAGGAAGGAAGGAAAGAAGGAAGGAAGGAAGGAGGGAAGAAAGGAAGGAAGGAAAGGAAAGAAGGAAGGAAGGAAGGCAGGCAGGCAGGCAGGCAGGCAGGCAGGCAGGCAGGAAGGAAGGAAGGAAGGAAGGAAGGGGGGCTACATTGTTCGCCCACTGTGGCTGTAGCATTGCATCCTCACTAAGAATGCATGGAGTTTTTCGGTTGGTCCATATTTTTCCTGAGACCTTGGTATTGTAAACTTAAAAATATCAATATTCTTTCAGTAGTATCTTGTGGTTTTGATTTGCTTTCTTATGTGAGTGTGTGTGTGTGTGTGTGTGTGTGTGTGTGTGTGTGTGTGTGTGTATGTGTGTGTGTGTGTGTGTGTGCTGGGGTATTGTGAATGTGTGAATCATCTTTTAAAAATTCTTTCCATGTACAGGTGGCACATGCCTGTAATCATAGCCATTCAGGAGGCTGAGATCTGAGGATCTCTCTTCAAAGCCACTCCAGGCAGACAAGTCCAAAAGAATCTTATCTCCAGCTAACCAGCACAAAGCTAGAAGTAGAGGTGTGGCTCAAGTGATAGAGCACCAGGCTTAAACAGAAAAAGCTAAGCAAGAGCACAAGGCCAAATTCAAGCCTCAGTATTAGAAAAAAAAAAAAATCTTCCCTGTCACAAAGACATTTGAGGATTTATATTTAAGAATGTAAGTCTTGCCGGTTATATCTGTCGCTTGTAAGTTTATAGTCTACCTTGATTTTGTGGTTTGGTTCTCCCTTGACAGTGAGAGAGCTATTATTAGCTCCCTAGTGTTTCATACAAATTTTAGAATGAATTCAAGTTCTACAAAAATAAATCCTAGGCTGGGAAGGTGGCTCAGTGGTAGAGCACTTGCTTTGCATGCCTGAGGCCCTGGGTTCAATTCCTCAGCACCACATAAGCAGAAAAAGCCGGAAGTGGTGCTGTGGCTCAAGTGGTAGAACCCTGGCCTTGAGCTGAAGAGCTGAGGGACAGCGCCCAGGCCCAGAGTTCAGGCTCCATGACCGGACCCTCCCCCCAAAAAAAATCTGTTGGAATTTTTATTGAAGTTGTATTGAGTCTGGAGGTCAATTTAAAGAAAATATTATTTAGATCTTATTTGATATTTAATATCTTTGCAATATTGAATAATCAAAAACATAGTGCAGATCTTTTAAATTGTATTAATTTATTTATGATACTAGGGGTTAACTCTGGGTTTCAACTCAGGCTTTCACCTCAGGCTTGCTAGGCAGGCAGTCTACTGCTTCAACCAGAATCCCCACAATCCCTAGGATATGTTATTTAATTAGTAATCTCCAATGTCTTTCAATAAATTTCCATGACAAACATGTCCAGATTTTGATATATACATTTCTAGGTGCTTTTTTTTAAATGTCGGTTCTAAGGCTTGATGGAACTCAGGGTCTCTCACTCTTGTTTGGCTTTTCC